GCTTGTGATGATTCTTTCAGTTTATTTCTGCAAGTTTAAGCTTTTTTTCTGCTATTTCAGCTACTATTTAACAATTTTTATGCTATTTATTTTAGCTTTTTTGGCTAATTCCACTTTTTTTTGCACTCATTTAAACTTTTTTCAGCCCAATTCAGCAAAAATGTGTTCTCTCTATACTTCCTTCTGGTAATTTAAGCTTTTTTCTGCATTTTTAGCTACTTCTCAACTGGTTTTATGCAAATTTCAACTCTTTTCAAGAAATTTCTACTTTTTTGTGCTCATTTCTGCTTCTTTCAGCCTAATTGGTCAAACGTGTTCTTTCCATCGTCTTATGCTAATTTACGCCTGTTCTACCTTTTTGTCTAGCTTTTTTTTTTTTTATTTTTTTTTTAGCATATTTTAGCTCATTTCAGCTGTTTTCAGATAAATTCAAGTTTTTCATGGTAATTTCTGCTACTTTCAGCCTAATTAAATTATTTCTGCTGCTTTCAGCTTGTTCCTTTCAGCTTATTTCAGCTAGTTTCAGTTATTTCAGCTCCTAATTAGCTGTTTTTATGCTAATATTAGCTTTTTCGACCAATTCCATATTTTTTGCACTCATTTCAACTTTTGGGTTCTTTCTTACACCTGCTGATTTACACTTGTTCTACCTTTTCAGCTATGTTTCAGCATGTTTCTTAGCCCATTTCAGCTGTTTTTCAGCAAGTTCTTCTGCAATAAGCATTCACACTGTATTTTCATAGGAAATGCAATTTCTCTACTTTTCTTTAATTTATAAAAGCAAAGACCTCCATTTACTGAGCGCAAACCCATGTTAAGTGTGTTTTTTCCTAAATACACTTAACATCACTCACTCTACAGAGCTCATCAGCTAGCAAAATAAAAAAAGCAGGTTTGTAAAAGGGTAAAAGATCAGTGTGTCTAATTATTCTCGCCTGCCGCTGGATAAAGTGTGTAAAATCCCAAACATTCCCAACATTTGCAGACAAGTGTTTGATTCCATGACAAACATCTGCTTCCTCTTTGAGGTGAACAAACTCTGTAATAAATCCTCCAAAACCAGAAAATGAGTCACAGTTCAAACCTCTGACTCAGAGCTAGTTTGCAACCTCTTCATGACCTTCCGTCTTCTAGTACAGCCTTCTCAGGACCTCTTGTGGTGCCTTAATAACCCCGATCCAGTCGTAACAAAGTGAGACAAACTGAGGGAAATCTGATACAGCACTATCACCTGCACTCCCCTTCACTCACACACATTATCCAACTGTGAGAAAAACGAACATTCAGATGCAATCTGCTTGTAAGCACAGACATTAATAATGACAAAAGCTTCTTGTTGCAAATAGAAGAAGGTGATAAATACATGTTTTCTTTTGTCATCAGATCAAAACATCTTTATCATGGAGAAGAGAGCACATTTTTCACTAGATCTCACTTCGAACAGGAAATAAACATTTACCTTTGTTGCTGTTGGGATTATTGTCAGAAAAATGTTTTGCACTCTCCAAATATATTTTAGCTTTATTGTGATTGACCAGTCAGAGCCCTCAGGTGGGACTGCATTAAAAACAGGTCTGATTCTGATATAGACATCACTGCTTGGGCTCAGGAACACTTCTGCAAATCATTGTCTGTAAACACGATTTGATGTGCCTTCCATAAATGCAGCTTAAAGCTGTAGCACGCAAAGAAGAGGTCAAATGTGAACACCATATAGAAATGTTATCTTCTCTGGAGCAAAAATTGTTTAAAATTAACTGACTCACAGTGGAAACTGTTCAAACGACATGCTTATTTTTGTTTTGTACTAAAGAGAAGAAGTTCCAGCCATTCTGTAATTATTGCACCATCCAAAAGTCTGCCTCTCTGATAGTATAGGGGTGCATTAGTGGATGGCATGGGTAGCTTACACATCTGGAAAAGCCAAGGCAGAAGGTTTTAGAACAACATAAGCTCCCATCCAGTTGTCAACTTCTTTTAAGGAAGGTCTTGCATATTTGGCAAGACTATCCTAACCACATACTGAATCCATTATACAACAGCATGGCCTCCTAGTAAAAAAAAAAAAAACAGTCTGGGTGCTAGACTAGCCTATCTGTAGATCAGACCTCTCAGCATTAGAAAACATTTTATCCATCATGAAATGAAAAATCCAGCAAAGACCCAGGACTCTTGAAGAGCTAGAATGCTACACCAGACAAGAGACATTTCATACTGGTCTCTTCATGTTTACAGAGGGTTGTCAAAAGAAAAGGCAACGTTTCAGTGATAAAAATGGTTGTGTCCAAGTTTTTTAGACGTTTTACTGCCAGAAAATTCTAAATGATCATGTCAATATTTAATGTGTTTAGTTCTATAGTGAATAAAATGAGATTTGTGTATCATTGCATTGTTTTTATTTACTCTTACATTACATTAACCTTTTTTTTTTTTTTGGCATAGGGGTTGTACAAATTGTCTTAAACAAATATCTTTATGTTGCACATAGATGACTAATTTGAAATTTCTGATTTTTTTTTTTTTTTTAGTGACTGTTTTTAGTGTTGAGAAAACAGAAAGCATAGTTTTACAAGAGTTGCACCATTTCTCTGTGTGTATGTTTACCACACAGCATTTAGAGAAGTTGACTTGTCTTCCAAATCTGGAGGCAATTAGAGCTTGGAACAGAAAGCAAAATGCCAGAGCCAGTGAGGGTGAAAGTCTAAGGAAGATTCCTGCAACACGATGGTGTGTTGTGACGAGAAAAACCATAAGGGAGCTAGATGTCTCCATTTGTCATCACCCATTATGTTTTCACGTGTAGAACTGATGAATTTAGTGGATACATGGGATTAACACATCCACACCTCGGTGACCTGCTGCGTCTGTCTGTCTCTTGTTACAGAACAAAACAGCCTCTGATTTAAAGTTCTTGTGCTCAGATCCTCCACGCCATCATCGTTTTCCAGCTTTCTTCAATCAGACACAGAAACACACAAACCCTTTAAGAGATAAGCTTTTCTCCTCAGCCAGGTCATGTTGGCTTCCTCTGCATCAGATCAGGAACACACGGCGTGTTAAGGATTCATGGGAGCGCTGTGAAAAACAAACCATGAGGCAAACGGTCCACACAGAACGAGGGTCAGAGGAAAAGAATGAAATGTAAAGAAGCACATTTATGCATCTCCAAGAGATACTCAAATATTCATTCAGTCATTTTAAAATGCTTACTAAACCTGATAAACACTGATCTGTTTAGGCGAGTTAGGTCTCTGAAGCTGTTAACTTGTGGCTTAACGCAGCCTCTCCTCATGTCCACACAGTCCAGTGTTGGAAGTTATCCATCAGTTTCATTCCCCCTGTGTGGAGCTACTCATGGTCACCTCATTCAATCTTTATTTATACAGGTTAATCCCATTGAGCCTCAGGGACTCATTTACAAGAGACCTGAATTTTAACAGTGACGACGACAATCATAAAGGATGCTTTTTTTAACAAGTGAAAATAAAATGGTAATTAAAAGGATGATTAAAAGGAAAAGTAGCAACAAAAAAAAATAGCTAATTATAAAGCGATGTAGGAAACTAAAAACTGGAACACGTCTTCATTGGTTTTGCCAGGAACTTAACAGATGTTTGAAACCACTTCGAGGTCAAGAGCTTCAGATATTTTTGTAAGATATTCCAAGAAACAGGAGCGGAGTAGGAGAAGGCCCTTCTGCCTAGTTCAGTTCTCACAGAGGGAACACTGCAGGTAATAATGTCCTGAGAGCGCACGCTGTAGCTGCACTCACAAAGACATGTAGGAGATGCATGAAGGCAGCAGACCAAAAAGTGATTTAAAGATGAAAATGTACCTCCTCTCCTCACATCAGCCAAAACATTTCTTACAACCACAGTGCACTTTGCAAATGTTCGAAGTGACCAATGCTACTGTACTGGGATGATGTGTAGTTTTAGGATTTAAATTTAGACGACACTTCTGCTTGAAAAACTTTAAACGTGTTCGGCATCTCAAATGTGGTCTACACTTGTTTCCAACAGTTAAGTCAGGTCCTTTGGACGGTTTGTGTTAAAAACAGTTTCATCTTTCATCCAAAGGACTTCATCAGTCCGAAGAGCCACAACAAACTCAGTCCCACAAGTAGCATGCTCACATTCACCAGTTTGATAAGATGGTTTCTAGAGTCCACTCTCTCCCCCGTTGACTCGTCGGAAGCAGCCATGGCCAAAGTGGCTTAAAATATCAAAGTTCATTCTCAATAATCCAGGTAAAAAAATCCAACTTTATGGGACAGTTTGTTGTGGCTCCTTAGACTGATTTAGTCCTTTGGATTAAAGACAAAACATTTTAACACAGTGCTAAGATGGTGTCTTTGGCACGCCCACTCCTCTTGTGCTGGCCCTCTTCCTCGTCGACAGTCATGTCAAACTGGTTCAAAACCAAAAAAAAAAATAAGACACCATCTTAGCACCAACATAACTGATTTGTTCCACTTTGGAGTAATCTGTTGGGGGAATAATCAGTTTTGTGTTGTGTGTTTCCTTGACTGATGAAGCCTTCTGGATAGAAGGTGAAACGTTTCAGAAAAAAAAAAAGAAGAAATTGTCCAGATGACCTGACTGAAAAATGTTGGGATGTTTTAATAGTACGTTTTGAATGAGCTGAATGTTTTGATAAAATAGCTAAAATAGCACTAAGTATGCAGACGACTGACAAAAACATGCAAATTATGAACAGAAACATTAACATTTGTTGCTATAAAGCAGGTGGTACTGGGTTGTTTGTTTTAATCACTGTAGAAGTTCGGAAGAGCTCCCAAAAGAAACTGAATAATGCAGTTCAATAACTAGACAGTTTAGCAGGAAAAATGTTTCTAAAACAAGTTTAATTTCACGTGTAAATACCAACAATGTAAAATAAATCATTTATTGTAACAAAAAAAGAACAATCTAAAAACAAAAGCTGGAGGAAAATCCACTGTTTTGAAGACCAGCAGGTCTTCATCTTGCTGCTTCCCTCTATAAAATATTTGCTTTTGCCTTGAAGCTCCTCAATGTTTCCTTCAGCTGCTGAACAGCAGCCTTGTCCTCCTCCACAGCCTTGGAGGTGATGCGCTGCACCTTGCTGTGCAGCTCCTCCATGCACTTCTGTGAGACAAAACCAACAAGACACAGTGAGCAAACAGCCATGAACTAAAATAATGCTGAATCTACAAAACCGTGTCTTTGTTTTCAAGTTCAATTCAATATTTGCGTTTAGAAAAATGTGTACTTTTATACAGAGGCCCAGAGGAAAAACTGGAGGGAGGAAAATAAAGTCTTGTGTGCACAAAAAAAAAAAAAAAAATTAATATTTCTCTTGAATATCCACTTAGGGGCTCCACAGTTTTCCTTCATTCGTTCTGTTAGGTTTAGCTTCAAGGAAAGAAATTGTTGAACTGTACCTCAGTAACTGACAGGTGGTTGGCAGCGGTGGTAAATATGGAAGTGAGATTGTTGGCAACTATTCGTTTTTCTTCTATTGTCTCTTGCAGCACCAAATGATACCTTGAGAGAAGACAATCACAAGTTATTAAGAGTGCAAAGCTTCTTTATTGTCCTGTTAAAAAAGGCTTAAAATAAAGAAAAAACATTAAGGATAAACCACGACTAGGAATATAACGAGGTTGAGTCAGGTCCTCTGGACGGATTCTTTGTTGAAATGTTTTGTCTTTTAAGACTGAAGAAAACCGACTTGGACTGAAGTCGTTTGGACAAAAGGTGAAACATTTCAGAAAGAAGAATCCATCCAGAAGACTTGACTCAACCTTGTTAGATTCATTCATCCATCTATTATCTTTACCTGTTTGGGTCATGGGGGTCAAACAACTCGTTCACTCACACCTAGGGACAATTTAGAGTTACCAATCAGCCTAACATGCATGTTTTTAGTCTGTAGGAGGAAACCGGAGTACCTGGAATAAACACGGATGCTGCACAGAGAGAACATGCAAACTCCACCCAGAAAGGCCCCCTGCTGAGATTGGAATTGTCGATTTTCTCGCTGAGATGCAACAGCTCTACCAACTGAGCCACCATGCAGCCCATCTACCTGGATTATTGAGCATGCATCAGGACATGACTAGGAAGGTGTGTAACTGTACTCCCAGAGTAATCAAAAATAAGAAAAATATGAAGATGTCAATAAAACAACAGGCGACTTAACACAGTATGAGCGTTAGGTTCAGAAAAGGTTTCTATTTTTTGTTTGTTAACCTGACTTGTTAAAAAAATAATCAGGCAATCATAAAACCAGTGGTAGTTCACACACAAACCAACTCCTAACAAGACTAAAAAAAAAGAACAGGACTAAGATAAAACCGTGCACTTTCAAGACACCGAGTCAACATTCTGAGTGAAACCAGCCGGGGGGGACAAGAAAATCTGTATGCAAACATCTAACAGGTCAGGTCCTCTGGATGGATTCTTTGTTGAAACAGCCAGAACTAGCTATTTTTCATTCATTCATCCTTTATTTATACAGATTAGTCTCACTGGAGATGTAAAAACTCTTTTACAAGAGACCTGTTTTAAGCAAAGAACACAGATGAGGTTCAGACAACAACAATCATAAAAGCATATAAAATGAAAAGTAAATAAAAGAAATGATGTAAAAAAAAAACGAAACAAAAACAGCGACATTCACATGTAAAAGAACCATCAGACTAACAATTGATCGTTAGTGCCCTGACGGCCGCTTGTTATTCACAGAGGGCTGAGTGATGCTTGTAATAACCACATTTTAAGAGGGTGATAGTGGAACATGGAGCCCCTGTATAACGATGGATGAGTTCTCTTCACAAATATGTCTTCCTTTACTCCTCTCTAATGTGCACACTATGCAAACGTGTTGCTGATAAATTCACTTACTTCTGCTGTGTTGCCGTCAGCTGACGCACAGCCTCATGATAACCATAATTAACTTTCTCCTCAAGATGTTTGCGGTGGTTTTCCACTGACTCCATCTCTTTTGCCCAGTTCTGCTCTTCCCGGGCTAGCTCCTGTGCAAATAAATATTCAGTCAACCTTTATTTATACAGGTTAGTCTCATTGAGCCTCGAGGACTCGTTTACAAGAGAGACCTGTTTTGAACGAAGAATGATGACAAGAGTAGACAATCTTAAAAGAAGGCATAGATAAATAAAGGCACACATATGGTGGATGTTAGCAGCAAAAGTACATAAAAAAAAAAGAAAATTAAAGACGTTTTAATTTAGTGAAAAGTTCAAATGAACTTTACCTGCATGTTAGCTTCCAGTCGTTCATCCAACTTACGGATCTGCTCTCTGAGCTGCTCGAGTTCATTGGACTTCTCTGTGATGTTGGAAGTTACCTGAAAGACAAAAAATTGCATTTTAGAGCCACAATAAAATCTAACAAAGATGCGGCTGTTCGTGCTAAATGCAGTACGTACTGAAACAAGTAAACTGGAGTAATAAAAATCTCGTTACCTGTTCAATGGACTCCTCCAGGCTGAGTTTCACGTTGGCTAACCGACTATTCTCCTCCTCTACGTCACTGACCAGCTTTCTCAGAAGCATCTACGTACATACAACCCAAAAAAACTTTAGTGATCCAAAATATGATTTCTACAGAGTTTCATCTTCAACGTTACAACTAGTAATCAATGACATAGAAGGTGTTCAGTTTTCTTAAAACTGACCCAGATCAAATCATGGTTCTGTGAAGGGGATCATCAGACGGAAGTACCTGTGTCTGTGCATTATGTTGAATGATACTGCCGGGTGCACCTTTGAAGGAACTAATCTCAAAATTGTGACCACAGGCGTTTTCTGCAGACTGAGGTATCAGCTTGAGTTTTCGTGCCAACTTGTGGTACTCTGTCAGCTTCAGCTCTGCCTGGAATCAAAGGAAATGACAAAAGTAAAAATAAATACAGGTAAATAGCAAAAGAGGAGCAAAGAGGAAAGACAAAAAAAAAAAAAAAAGTCCTGTATGTGCACGACTGCTGGGAATATTTGATACTCAACATACGCCGAAGAATCTTGCAACAAAGTTTTAGCGAACAACCCATTCATATACTGGCCTGCTTTAACTCCACAAACGAAGTACCTTTTCTTGCACCCTTGAAAGGGCAATTTCTTCATTCCATTTATGCTGCTCAGCTTCCTCAAGAGACTTGCTGAGACCAGCAATGGTCTGCTGAAGTTCCCGTTTCTCAGCGTTAATCCTCTCGACGTCAGCTGGAGTAAACTTTTGATTCTCCAGTTGTTGTTGAAGATTATCCTTCTCACGTTTCAGGGATTCCAGAAGACTGACTGAATTAAAATAATAAATCAGGATGGGATACAGAAGCATTTTTAGTGAAGGATAAATTGACTGTGTTACTGCAGCCGGGAGATTGAATGGATGTAAAAGTTGCTGTGGACTCTTCAGCACTGAGTTGGTAATACAGGACCACACAGGTGCTGATCCAGACTTCAGGATGTGCTCAAAGACAAAATAAATACTCAACTACGCAAGAAAAACGGTCGTCCATATTTACCAGTCATCCCCAATTCATCGTTCAGGTTTGAAGCCTTGATCTCCAGGTTGGCTTTAAACGCGTCGAGGCTGCTTCGATAACTCTGAAGTTTCTTCAAGTCGGACTGCAGCTTCATCTTCTCCATCCTCTTTGTCATTAGACGGTCCTGTGGACGGAGCGAGAGAGAGAAAGTCTGAACTCGGCAACGTTAAGCTTCAAACCAGTAAAATCTTCCATCTTTTGTCCATAAATGTCTCATTTTTAAACGAGGCGCATTTTGAACATTAGGCTGTTTACGTTTACACTTTCAAATAACTTGAATAAATAATCCTTGCTGTATACCTTAACACAAATATATTCATGTGAAAATAAAGTGTGCACAGGAATGTGTTTATAGTGAAACATCTTACCGTCTGACTCTCTTTTTCCAGACGACTGACCTCTTCACTGAGGATTCTGTTCTTTTCCTCCATGGACAGCAGCAGGGCCTCGTCAACATTGTACAGCTTCTCTGTGGAAACAAGTTCAAAACGCAAACTTAGGTTAAAACACGTTAACAAAAGAAATAATAAAAATGAATAAAATGTGAAGCTTACTCAGTTTGGAAAGGAATGCCTCGTCGTCCTGCTCAAACGTATCCTGCCCCTGCATGAACTTGGCATACGTCTCATATGTGCATTCTAGGAACAGCTGAATATAAAATAAAAATTAAAACACTAAACATCGATTTTTAATAAAAAGGGACTACAAGGTCTATTGTAGGCATTGGTTTTAAAATAGAAATAGACTGAAACACAAAGCGTAATTATGCAAGACGATATCCTTGTGTTTGCTTTCAGGAACACACACACACACACTCTCTCTCTTAACTTTAGAATACCTTGCTATACTCGGGCACGTCAATATTGTTGCCATCTTCACAGGAGTCCGAAAACGGCAGCTCCTGCTTAGAAAAACTCCATATCTAAAACACAGTCAGACTAACGATTAGACTGAAAACATTCACTTTAATGAACTTTGATTCATCCTACCCTCTTTCAGATCATTTTCTCTGCGTCTCACCTTGAAAGTATCAATTAGCCACATGAGCGCACCAAGGGCCTGAGGCCATGTGTGAGGAGCTCCAACAGAATACATGGAACACTTGGAGAGCACAAACGGATACCTTTAATAAGACACAGGAGAGGGGAAGAATTAGCAATGCTATTTAACTGAAGAGAAACAGTCAAAGGCTCACAAGAAACAAAATGTACTCCGTGAAGTTATTTAACAAGGTTAAGTCAGGTCCTCTGAACGGATTCTTCTTTGTTGAAACGTTTCGTCTTTAGCTAGGTTTACATGGACATAAGTAACCAGACGGCCATTTGGAATAAAAAAAGAGTCATGTAAACACCCCACTCGATTATTCTTTGTTGATTCAGCTCGATCCGAATGAATTTGTAATCTGAATGAGAGGGGTGGTTTATGCCGATTCATAATCCGAACGGTGTGCATGTAAACACTTAATCTGTTCATTTTTTTCAGATCGTGGAAAACTGATCAGGCTGCGCATGTGCGACTTGTCAACCTCACGTATTTCTGCCTGGCTAGATGCTAATATGTTGAGGAAGCAAAACTTGTCAGTGAGCGACACATTTCTACTAGAAACTTTGAAAGAGTTCAAAATTATCTGTATTACCTGGAGCTCAATCGGGGAGTGCAGTAACGTCTCCACCGTCATTAAAACCTGGCGTGGGTCCATTTTAGGCTCTTAGGTTTGTTTACCGGTGCGTTCATGATCCCAGAAGTAAAACGGAAGTAGAACTTCTTCTGTGTTTTTTTTTTTTTAAAGGAGTTTACCACTCTGTGCATGTCAGTACTTCTATGAATAAAAGTCAGCTGCATGTAAATACTCGTTGTGAATGAATTGTGTCCATGTAAACGATACATTTGGATTATTTTATCTGAAAACATTTCAATTTGGTCAAAGAATTTTGCGCATGTAAACATAGCCAAAAGTCTTCTTCAGTCTGAGACACTGAAACATACTCAGGCTCTGTTTACACAAGAAGAACCTCGTTGATGTTTTTTCAGTGTTTATCGAGAATAATAAACAAAAAAAGAGCGGGTTTACACGAAAATGCTGCAGTTTCCATGTCAGTCGGGTTGCCAAATAAGTAGTTGCTTTAACTCACATAACAGTTAAGGTAAAAATAACGATTTTTGAGAAGGCGTCTTGTAAGATGAGGTGTCCGCTGTGTTCGGTGAACGTGCATAAAAAAGGAGGGGGTAAATAAGACTTTTTAAATTGATCTGGTTACCCTGATGCCGGGCTCAGCTGCATTCATCGCACATACAGTGTCTGTATGATCACAGTTACGTATACACCAACGTCTCTTTGGACCCTGGATTTTATTACGGTAGTTTTGTTCCTACATGATGAAAAAGAGTGAGTAGCACAAAAAAAAAAAAAAAAAACACTGCTCTCTGCCATTTATTATAACTGTTAGTGCAGAAAAACTGACTGCAGCCACCTGTAGTGCACATGTGCGACTTCACACTTGCGGAGCATTTCACACCTCTGCAGTACTCCCGTTTTGGGAGGACCAAAAACATGCATGTTAAACTGCCGTCAGGTTCAGGCCTCCCTTGCATAAGAGATCTGTGATCTCAAAAGGGATTTGCCTGGTTAAATAATAATAATAATAATAATGTCATCACAATGTCAGCACTGTATGTTTCCATACAATGGCGAAATTAGTCTCTGCATTTAACCCATCCACCACCAGGTGGTGCAGTGGGCAGCTATTGAAAGCGCCCGGGGGACATTTTGGGGATGAGAATAAAAAAAAATAATAATAGTTTTCAGTTTTCTTATCAGTGTTTTTGTGACCAACAGTTTGTGGTGTTGAATAAATAAATAAAAATTTAACCTGCTGTCTTCATTTTCAACTTTAATAACACACAATATGTTTTGCGTCGTTTAAATCACATAACTTGAATCACATAATGTCCAGGTAGCTTCATTTAGCTCAGATAGCTTCATTAAATTTCTCAACACTAACAGAAATACTGTTTATTGTTACTGTTATTATTTAGCACATGTAGTATGTTATACTCCAGCACGACGCGTGAAATATACGTGTGCCTCGACAGCTCGTTCAACACAGCAATTTCGAACCCGGTCCGACTGGCGTCTCTTCCAACACAGATGTCGGTCGCAGCAGCTACATTCCAGCGTAGATTAACTACGAGACCCAAAATATATTCCATCAGTTGTAGCACAGAAAGCAGATTGTTATACTCTGGCTCCATTGCTGTTGATAGAAATATGCCGTTGGTGCGCACATGCGTGAAATATACACTTGTAGTGCGCATGTGCTTCCACACCTAAACGGGGGTTTTGCCGAAAATCTCCACTCCTGAGACCTGGGTTCAAAAACCTCCAGATTCAGAGAGGGCAGGGGCTGGTGTTGTGTAAATGAACAGCCGAACCACAGAGGAAAAGCTGCGGTTTCACTCAAAATATGCAGTGTGTAAACTAGGGGTGTAACAATACATCAATTTAAAATCGACATATCGATTATTGTGGCAAAACTAAAATATCGATTCATATCGTCACCTTTAAAATACGCTTTTATTTTGAAATTCCCAAGGCATGTCTGTGTCACCATTTCTGTGCGCCGCTGCGCTCTGCGGCCGCTTCAACAACATGGCAGACGAGGCAGAAAACACAGAAAATGAAATTCACAAATATTTTTGATTCCAACAGAAGGACGGCTCAACAGATAAAACTCATGTCGTGTGCAACAGGTGCCGGTGTGAGTTAAAATACTCGGGAAACAACAAATTTGGACGTTCACCTGCAGAAGAAACACAGCATTGATAGCCATGTTATGCAAGCTCGATATCTATTTTAGTTTATTTATAACTGAAAGGTAATCAGGACACTTTCAGGTTAACTGGTTTAAAAAATGCACTTAAACATGAGAAATATGAGACTGTTCTGAACAGGTCATATATTTTTATTTTGTCATTAATTAAGAAAAAAATGATTTTTTATTTTTATTTAAATGCCTGTAATAACAAATAAAATGGTTAAATCCTATTTGAATTGTTGTTGTTGTAAATTTATTTATATGTAAATGAGATGGGCATTTGATATCGCAAAATATCTGTCGTAGACTTGTGAATGGAATAAAATTGAAATTGTATCGTGACAGACTTTGTAATAACGAGAAAAACCGTATTGTCATACAAACAAATCAATGTAATATTGTATTGTGGTAAAGCTGGTGATTTACACCCCTAGTGTAAATGGCCCCTTAGGCCCCTTTACACAAACATGGTCAGCTGGGGAAACGCAGAGTTTTTCAGATGTTAAGTCGAAGTAAAAAAAAATAAAATCCTTGTTTACATAACTGTTTTGGAGTTTACATGTAACCACATCATGCATAACAATCAGCTGTTTTAGGCCAGCCATCCAGGTAGATAAAAACATACAAGTTTAAATCATGTCATCTGGACAAGTTTATTTTAGGGAGAAACAGTCTTCTTACCTTAAGTCTTTTAGGAGAGCTGGAACCTCCTCCTCAACTTTGGAGTTAGGCATCTCAAAGGTTCGATCAAACAGGCGGTAAATGAACTCAAAAATCTTCACAAATTCCTTAGTGGAGGGCGACTGGAGAGTTTTGGGTGACAAAGTGCCTGGGTAACCCTGTTCAGTTAGGAACTGAAAAATAAATTTAAACAAAATCAAGTTGGACAAAACGAGCAACATTTGTCCCACTCTTGGCGAGAAAGCAGCAAGATTAGCATTTATTCAGAAGAAGTTGAAAAAAAAAAAATAAAAAAAAAAGATGATTTAAAAGAGAAAAGGCACACAAAACAGTACATTTAAACAAGCCAATACAGTAACTGTGCCACTGAAAGTAGTACTTAAGTTAAGAATATTGAAAAAGCTCATCTGGTAGATCATGTACTGGTAGTTGTAACTGCAACTTTAATTATCCACTTTATGATATAAATATTTCAAGAGATAATCCAAAAAAATATGTACACATGGTTCATTTTTGTGTCATTAAAAAACGTCAAATTCTATCAAATGTCTTACCTCATGCAGCTGTCGGATACATTGCTGAACAAACGCCTTATCGTGGAGAGGTCGGGCATCTTTGATTTTCTCAGTTCCTCCAAACCCTGCCATGATGCTGCTCCGAGGCATGCCAGCTCCACTAGTTCTGTGGTTAAAATTCAAAACATACATCCACTTTTGCTAATTGGTAAAAGATTTTGGTTAAACTCAGAATCCCTCGACAATTAAAAAGGACAAACGAAATGAATCATTACATTTTCCCAAACCTATCATTTTTAGCACTGATACTTTCAAGCACGGCAAATATAAAAAAATGTGGTAGTGGTGGGAAACTAAAGTTTAAAAAGCTCATACTATAGTATTAAACATTTTAAAGGTGTACAATCTATGGGTGATTTAATTTGTGTTGTTTAGCTCATTTGATGTTCAATATCTACATATAAAAAAATGAAAGCCTTACTATTTTTGTCAGTAACTAAATATTGTTCACTTACCGTGCACCAAAGAAGCTGGTTCGCTTTTCAGAGGTCACAGATGCTGGTCTCGACATGCTGAGCTTTCCAAAAGATGGAAGTTTACTGCAAAAAATAAAACACTAACTTGTAAACAGACCCATGTGTTCCACTTGCTAATCTACTAATCAAAATTTATGCTGCTCTATTAAAACATTCACAAACAAACATGTTTTCCACACATCACTTTGAGCCCAGGCTATCCTAACGGAGCAGAGTTCATTTATTTTAGCACACAAGCCCATAACACATAAGTAACAATTTGAAATGTTCAAAAGCAAAGTAAAGTGGGACATGGCACAAAATCTAATAAAACAAAAATGGAATTGGAAACGTTGTGATTAGCTGTCTAGTATAAGTATCTAATTATCTAATTTATGGTCTAGATAGAACAGTGGTCTGCAACCTTTAGGGTCAAAAGAGCTATTTCAATTCTGCCCCTTTGTTTGCTAAATTAAATGTGTCCAGAGCCGCAAAACCTGCTACAATTGTCATTATCAACTGGTGGCCCATGGGCCACTTTAAGTTTGTTAGAGGGAGCTTTTCTGGCCAGTAGGCGTGAAATTTTAAAACAAAAAACATCCAATGATTGTTAACGTTTATCGATATTTTTACATTTTAAGGCAAAAGAAAATACTGAATTCCATCCATCCATCCTCTTTACTCGCTTCTTTCTTTTCAGGTTGCTGGGGGTCACTGGTGCCCATGTCCAGGTCACAAGTCTATCACAGAAGACTGGATTCTTGTAAAGAAAAATATAGATTATTTTGCCAATTAAAAAAAAAAAAAAAAAAAAAAAAAAAAAAACTGTGCAGGCATGGTTTTTTTTTTTTTTTTTTTAATTTTGGAGGAAATTGAGCATCCTTGAAAAAATAAAGCATAAAGTAAAAGTGATTATAATTTACTCTGTGTATTAGTACTAGTATCCGAATATTTGAAAAGAAAATGACAGGAAAACTCGTAAAACTAGTCATTTTTTTGTTGTGGGTATAACATCCCATAAAATTCTGTTTATGTAACTTGTTGCAGACCCCTGGTCTAGAATTACTTGAAGGAATGCATATCACCCACCAGCTTTTCATACCAGTTTAGTCCGAGATCATCATGATGGAGTTGTAGCTGTTTTACTCAAAGCTTGAAAATAACGATGCATGATCACATGCAGAACTATTAATAGCACATCACGTTTTAGCTCAGTATCTGTAAAAGTCACTGAGTTAGTGCAATTTTTGACACTTTGCTGTAGCAGCCATCTTTATGGAAGCCCATTTTCCAAAGCCCAACAGGAAGTCAAAATTTTGACCTTTAAAGTCATAATTATGAGAATAAAAGTCATAATTTCAACTTTTAAAATCATAATTTGGGCAGCACGGTGGCGCAACTGGTAGAGCTGCTGCCTCTCAGCGAGCAGGTCCCTGGTTCAAATCCCGGTCCGGGGGTCCCTCTGGGTGGAGTTTGCATGTTCTCTCCGTGCATGCGTGGGTTTTCTCCGGGTACTCCGGTTTCCTCCCACAGACCAAAAACATGCATGTTAGGCTGATTGGTAACTCTGAATTGTCCCTAGGTGTGAGTGAGAGAGTGAATGGTTGTTTGTCTCGTTTGTCTCTATGTGGCCCTGTGATGGACTTGCGACCCGTCCAGGGTGTACCCCGCCCCTCGCACAGTGATTGCTGGACATGGGCACCAGCGACCCCCGTGACCAAAATGGAATAAACGGGTAAAGAAAATGGATGGATGGATGAAAATCATAATTGCAACTTTTCTAATTTAATTTCAAAGTTTGTCCCTTGCCTGACACCATGACTCTAGAGGGATGCAACTTCCTGTCATACATTGGTAGTTTTCCTGCATAGCACATGGATTCATTCATTCAATGCATGTCCCTCTGCCTTCAAACATCAATTCTTTTAAATAAAAGGTATGTAATGTAGACATCTTTTCATCGCCACTTTATATAGCATTTAGTATCGAAGCCCATTTCCGCTATGAAATAAAAGCCCAACAGGAAGTCATAATTGAGTTTTAAAGTCATAATTACAACTTTTAAAAGTAATAATTACGAGAATAAAAGTCATAGTTATGACTTTAAAACTCATAATTATGATTTTTATTCTCGTAATTATGACTTTAAAACTCATAATTATGACTTTTATTCTCGTAATTATGACTTCCTGTTGGGCTTTTTATTTGTTCTTTCATGGCGGAAATAGACTTCCATACATCTTGAACTGATTCCAGAAATTAAAATCGGTCAAGTGGATAATGATATTTTACTGACAACAAATGACTCAAAACCAGATCTTATGTGGTGTGTGTGCGCGCGCGTGTCTGCTAAACAACAGACCTCTGTGGTGTTGCGTACAAGCTGCTGGCCCTGCTGTTGTCCTGCACTCGCATGGGCAGATCTGGTCTGCATCCTGCTCGGCTCAACCTTCCACTGGACACAAACATAAAAAAAGAAAGTTATTTTTAATGTTGGTCTATTATTCCTACAGCGCATTTTCATACAAGAAGCTGGATAGGTTTAAGTTCGTGAGCTACAGGCTACAGCTGGCAGCAAACAATCATTACCAATTATATACAATTCGAGTAAAACTCAACATGACCAATACACCTTTGTATAAATGTGGGAAAATAAACAGGCCATATGAACTTTAATAGATGTTCAGCCTGCTGCGACAGTTAACGGTGCATTTACATAAACGTTTGCTGTAGCTAGCGCGTTTGCTAAATTAACAGACAAGTAAAATATGCTCTAATCGAGTCCATATAACGCAGGTGAAATTAGCTCTACTATGAAAAATAACAAGTATACATGCTTTTCTGACTGTGCCTATACGTACCGCTCCATATTCCGTGTTCTGTGACCGTAAATGTTTACAAAATGATCCGAACTGCGCTTCTCCAAGCCCGCGGCCCGCCCAAATAATTTAAACAGTAATCGTGACGTCGACGTTCTACGGTGAGCCCCATGGTCCAAAAATGCTTCGCCGTGAGTAAAAACCATGAAAAGCTCAAATTAATTTGCATGTCTACATTTGATTTATATTTTTCGTAAAGTTGCCCATGAAAATGTGTTCGTTATCTCACGCAAAACGACTCAAAATGGATATTTTAAATCGTGATTATTTTTATTTCTTTGTATTATCTGATTTTTAATTATAAAAATAAAATAAAATTCTTAAGTGCTGATCTGTAGTACCTCACATGACCTTTTGTGATCTTTTCATGGTCTTGACTTGATCAGTGTTTCAAGCTTTCTGAAGGTCTTTGATTTTTTTCTTTAGAATTTAACAGTTTTTTCACTAATTTTCAGAAGGATATTTTGTTGTTAGGTCACTTCATTTCGGCCTGTAAATCTCTCAGGCTTATCAAGATTCTAAAACTCAAAGGACGAACCAGCGTTGACAACAATTTAGCAAATAACTCATTTTAAATTGAATGTTTAAGCACTAGGTCATCCGTAAGACCTTTTCTGGATTCTTTCCATTTCTTCAAAATGTGACTCAGAAATATTATCTCATGCATTTTTGCTGATAAATTCTTCAGACCTCACACTGCTTTCGTCCGCCACGCATCACTTTTAAATACATTTTAAGCACACACAACCCATGTTGTGCCATCATGGGCAGGAACAAAAACTTGACAGAAAATCAATGAAAAAGCAGTCTAATTTTTTTTTTGAAAACCTTTCACATTAGAAGCAAAATATAAAAAGGAGTGTTGATTATGAACCATTATGGTTAACCTACTAACACATAATCTTATTTTTGTTTGTTCTAACATGGATACTCTGAATTTAATCTGAAATGATACAAGAAGTATTGTTTGTTCCTTCTCCTGAACTGATTCTTCATTTTCAGTCATTACTGATTTATTATTTCTCCATTTGTAAAAATGAGAAGTTCAGATTAACACTTGGAGCAGACAAGTGACAAAGAGAAGTAGAAAATTTATTGCAGTATTTGTTCCACCAAAAGGGTATAAATCCCTTTTCCTCTTATTACTAGGGTGACCTAATACAACAAAATCTACATTTACAAAATATCCTCCTGCAATAGGCCACATATACTGCATGTGTAGTTTGAAATAGAATAAATTATATTCAGAGGACTCTGCCATTTTACAGAATGAACAAATAAAACGTGAACAAAAATAAAAAATCTTTTTTGTTTCTCAAATATCTAAAAGCTAAAAGAAAAAAATCCATCAGGGTGCTAGTATAATAAATTCCAAAAAACACTTTTAATAAGAACATCAAAAAGACTAATTTCCAACATTCACTTAAGGTTTTATTCTTTTTTTACAGCTTTTTTTGTATTCAGAGATATAAACATTTTAGTTTTTGTCATGTTAAACTATAATACAGTGGGAGTAGAAATGAGCGACTAGAATCTGCTGCACAACAGCGAAGGAGCTCCCACAACAATGTTGACAAAACATTTCCCTCCAGGTCTCTTCTCTGATAGCCTTTTAAAGAATAATTTGGGGGAATTACTCCTTTAATGCCTTCAGGATTCTTTCCGCTGAACATGTACACAAAAACATCAGCAGTCCCTCGAATATAAGTCTTGGGTTTTGTATCGTTTTTGCAAGAATAACTCATGTAAAAGTATGTAGTGTCAAATATTCTTGCCCTCTGTGTTCTTACAAAAATGAGGAAGAGGGGCTAGGTAGGAATCCAGTGAAGTTTGGCTGTGTTGTTGGAGGTGACAGGTTGAGAAGGAGGAGTAGGAGCAGGGAAGAGGAGGATTTTCATAAAGTAGAAATGGAGCAAATAAAAACAAAACAAAACAAAACAAAAAAACAGGAGCCATTAGCTAGCCCCTCCTTCCCGCGCTGCATATAGTGAGCGTAAAGTCTGTACAACTTTGTTGCTCAGTTTGTGGTTGCTGGTCAAGGCAATCTTCTTGTAAATGATGTCCGACTCTTTAATAGTGTCCACCCAAGGCACCTGTTTGCGTCCATCCCGTTTCTTGGCTTCTGCCCAGGGCCCCGAATAGGAGCCTGCCATCCAGTGGATGCTGTATCCGTTGGAAGTTTTCTGGATGACTCGAGCTATCTGCGGCCGGTCTTTGTATTTGGGGCAGCAGAGGGCGATCACATCCATCGTCTCTACTGTCTCGCTCATGCGGCCTGGATCACCCGATCTCCTCGACTTTCGAGAGGACTGGCAAAAAGAGTGAAACACAGTCAACGTTGATTTTCCTCACATTTTAAACTGCAGTTTTGAAACCATGCCTTCATCTATTCATCTCACCCCTGGAATCCTTTCATCGCTATCACTGTCGTCATCGTCAGTCTCTGGTCCCGCCTGATTGCGCGGACTAGGTCCTGACATGGGGCCGGAGCCTCCTAACAGAGCGTTTATGGCTTTGTTTCTGATGTTGGCGCTGGCAGATGCTTCTCCCTCCTCATCCTCTTCATCTGGATCCAGATGTTCCATCAGGACCTTAAACTATGTCATAAAAAAGAGACAACAGCAGTTAAGTGACACCTAAAAAAATGTGAGAAAATACAGTTAGGATAACTAGCAAATTAAAAGCAGGAAATTTAGAAAAGAGAAAATGATCTAATTGTTAAGTTACTAATACAAATGAATAATAAAAACAAAACCTACAGAAATTGTGCTGAAAATTGACTAACAATAGTTGCACATGCCCTGAGGAAGCTTTATTACTTACATCTAGGTACTGTTTGACTATCCTCCTTTTTACATCCTCTGTCAGTGTGGCGCTAGCCAAGTTGTTGGAGATGAAGTCCATGGTTTGTCGAGGGTTGAAGTGAATATTGCTTTTTCTGTTCACTGTCTTATCGTACACCTTGGCTGACTCGGTTGGAGAGTACTTCTGAATTTTACTGTTGAAAGAAAGAAAAAAATAAACTCAAGACTTTTGGGATTCAACTGTGTTAAATTCGTAACTATTTCAATTCAATTAAACTACAAATTCAACTAATCAAATGATTTTAAAGTATCAATGTATAATACACCAGATAAACTTTAGAAGAGAATAACTTAAGACTTGCTCTACTTGGTTTGAACCCAATTTTCAGATCAGAGTCTAAATTTAGACAAAGTGGCAGAATGATCAACAATCACCATTTCTCGTTTGAGAGTGTGTAAAAGATACAATTAGTGAGAACATCTAGCATGATTTATATTCTAAAACTGTTGACAGAAGAGGAGTTGTTAACTACAAGACTCAAACTGAGCTAAAGCTAGTAAGAGACTGGACAAGGAGGGGGCAATGTGAAATACAATTATGGTGGAGAACTTGGTTAAGGAGATGCTTTCTTGTTTGGACTTTGCTAGAAAAAATCTAAACATGCAACTCTTCAGGAGTCTCGGCACAATTCACTCTCACTTGATGAAAACTAATCTCAAATTTGAAATACATGCAAACTCCAACAGGATTTGCATCTTATCCTTGGCACAATGTTTAACATCAGCACATCATTTGCTCTTGCAGAGAGCAACGAGCAGTTGGCCCAGTGATGCATTTATCTTTACACCACATACAACCAGTTGCCTGTTTCTCACTCATAATATTTAATGGTTCCTATGAAATGTTCTTTTACTTTGAAAAGTGAAACAAGTTTCTTGTGTTTCTGTCTTTAGTGGTGGCTTTTGCGTGGTCATTATAATTTAAAAGGGACCGCCATCAGATTCCAGTGTGAACTAAAGTGACTCGCATACCCAGAACAAGACATAACGTCACACGCAGCACACTGTGCTTACGGAAATGCGGATGCTATATATGCTTGTGTGTTTCAGAACTGTATCAGAATCATCAAAATTATTATCTGTCACTCTTGTTTGGTCCCGTTTACATTTGATATGGCCTGTTCCTGGCTACTCGGATGCAGAATTGCACTTCTGGAATGGGAGCAACAAACTGAAACAAACTAAAGTATCAATCCCATCATGCTAATATCGATAGGATTTAACGCCAGCATTGTTGAGTAGACTCTCAGTCATCCAGGACATGACAAATAAAAAAAGACTAAGCAAACTGTCTTCTATTCTCTAGCTGAAAACATGTGTTCCAAACTTACACTGCATGACATTAGTATCAATATTATTCATATTTGATTCGATCTGATTAGATTATCTCACTGACATAAAAGGTGGATAAATACAACATGGCCTTTCAGACTGAGGTCACTTTGAAAACATTGGATGTGTATTGGATTTAGTAACACACATCAAAAAGACCAAGAGTGAATGAAATAAATAAATCAGATTTGTCACAATCAAACTGTCAAGACTCAGAAAAAGCCTCCCCGACAAAATTAAATAAAAAAAAAAAAGAGATTTGGGCTTATTGTCTGCAGTATATGAACACAAATTACGTCTTGTTTTAGGGCATGGTAGAGAGCAAACTGTTTTGTTTGAACACTGATATCATTAGACATTTTTGTTTGGTTTTAAATCACAGAAACAGTATGATTCAGTACTGTAGTATATAGAAGGAGTACTAGCACTGCTCTTCAAGAAGTAGGTCAGTAACACTGATTTACTATAGGGGAGCTGAAGCCCAACATTGACCAGCAAGACACTTGTGTGACACTTGTAAGTGATATGAATAAGTCAATAAGCTGGGGTCAAGTCGCCGTGAAGTGTGTGACTGCTGAATACCGCTTGTGTAAAGTGAACAAAGTGAGTTTAGGATCAGTAAAGTGAAGCTCACAGTTATGGAAAAACTCAACAATCTGACACCACTGTCGTTTGAAAGCGGTTTACAGCAATCTCACCTGTCAGAGAATCCATACTGGTTCTTTAGATGTTGTTTGAGCACGAGCAGAAGTAAGATGCCCTGAACAGCATTGGCAAAGTCCAAGAGCCCTGTGGGATTGTCTGGAAGAAGTCTCATTACTTTGTCTGCGTCCTCCACATCTAAATCATCCAGATCAGACTCAGAGTCCGAGCTGTCCGAGTTTCGAACAGGTTTTCTTGTCTTCTTTGGCCGTCGTACCACAGCATCTTCGTCATCGTTGTCATTGTCCTCGCTGTTGCTGTTTTCTTCATCACTCCTGGAAGAGTAACAGTTCATCTTTTCCTCTTCGTCTTCCCCATCAGACGTGTTTTTCCACTCCTTCACTTTCTTTACCTTACGCCTCGGCTCCTTTAGAAGAAGCTGAAGAAACAGTCAATAAATTAATTCCAATCAAGCTTATACCTACTAAACATCATATGTGAAAATTTCCCGTAAAATCTTAATATTGTTTTTTGGGAGGCACATAATAAGAATGATTTCAAATGATATCCTGTCTCATACCTCTCTGAATGTTTGCAACAGATTGCTGCCAGAAACAGACAGTGTGATGTCTATGTGGTGCATGATGAAGAGAGGCTCTTCCTGGCTCTGGTATGGAAAATAAGCCAGGTTGTCTGTGATAAACAGCAGCATATTTACTTCTGTCTTCTGCAGACAGAAAAGAAGGGAAGAACAAGATAAAGTCGGTCAGTGCAAAAACCCACAATGCATTGCTAACCTTTTAAAATCTACAGTATTAGGATAAATTATAAGAACTGCATTAGTCTAGGTAAAAACAAACTACAAGAACAACAAAAACACTGATCACAACTCCTATAAAAATAAAACAAAACCAATTTATAGCACAAAGACATTTTCACTTGGCCTGTGTTTTTTCTGGAATAAGCTTATGGTTGTGGTTGACTTACGGCGCTGTCGTCAAAGAGGTTTAGTAACGAGATGAGAAAAGCCCGCCGATGGTGCCGGTTCCCCCGGATCATAGAATAGAGGTGGGAACAGAGCGCCGAGTGGGTCTCGTCTTGTCTGAAACCTCTTATTACAGATTTGCGAGACGTAACGATGGCCTGCTGCAAATTGTATGACATCTTCATCCCAGCAACTGCCTTCATCTGTGTATGTGATGAAAGAGAAATGTAAGGTTGGCATTTCAAACAGCTGTTGACAGTTCTCGTGTGAATATGTAAACACTTTAATTTACGCTTAAGTTTTCATCACAGGGTGTTTAGAGGCAGCAGAGTGACTAAATCAGGGGTGCCCAATACAGCGATCGCAATCTACCAGTAGATCGCGGTCTAAGATAATATCAGTAGATCGCACAGCAAAATAGATGTCAAACCTTTTTTTATTTCTATAAAAAATGTAATAGACGTCAGTCATCAATCTATCTTCACTATGCAAATCGTTACTTGATTGACATACAGGTTAGCCAATCTGAGACCGACCTTTTCTGACACACAGGTCACCACGCATGCACAAACAATGGCGCCCATGATTGACACACAGGGCAGCCAAAGGCCGGATTTTTTTCTGACGCATAGGTCACCACACATAAACATTAAACCGCGATAAAAACAAACGAGTTGACTCGTAATAGCGTCCAATTTATATCTAAACTCATGAAAGTGTGTAAAATGAGTTGGGGAGCTGGACCAAGTATGCAAAAAAAATCTACCATTTTCATACGGAATGGGGGGAGGACTTTTTTTTTCTCACAATTTGAGGTGCGTTTAACCGGAGCGGCATTTTTGGACTATAAATACTACGGCACTGACTTCCCTTCCTTCTGAAAAGCGAGCTGATAAAGAAAACGATGAAGGAACTAAAATCCCAGTTATCTGGACAGCAGTCATTTTTCTTACAGCTGACCACAGCAGTGAAGCATCAGTCCAGGTGAGTCACTTTAATAATTGTTAAGCGCAAGAAGTCTTTTCAAGATGGAGAGATGGTAAAAGAGGTATTCGTTAAAACAGCTGACTCGTTATTCCGGGACTTTAAAAACAAACCAGAAATATTATCTTCATCAAAGCTCTCCAGGTATCAAGACATATGGTTACAGTTAAAAGCCATTCCTACAGTCAGGGCTGAATTTGAACTTTTGTTCTCAAGTTCTCAGGTTATTTTCACACATGAAGTTATTCTTGTTGTTTTCTGTTCCTTTGTGTGGAGAACAGAAGTTATTGTTGGGTTTTATTTATGATTTTGTACGCGGACAGTACAAAATAAATTCACTTTTATTTATTAAACCTACCAATACTTTTGCGTTTTGTCATTTATGTTGCGTCCAAAGTGAGCTGGGACGTATTCATTCATTCAAGCTTTATTTATCCAGGTTAGTCTCAGTGAGTTACGAGGACTCATTTACAAGACAGACCTGTTTTAGACAAACAACATATAAAGTACAGTAAAATGCAATTAAAATAAAAGTATTTTATAAAACAGTAAATCAAGGTGCCATATAAAACATGGTAAAATACTAAAAACAAGAACGTAAAACAAGAACGTAAAACAAGAACATAAAACATAAAAAGCATACTTAATATGTTTATAAATAAGTACCGGTATACGTTTTGTATTTTTATAGTAGGTAGATCACTTGGACTTGGTCATTTTAAAAGTAGGTCTCATGCTGAAAAAGTGTGGGCACCCCTGAACTAAATGATTCTAGGTAGGTCTGCTTAATAATGTTCTGTAAATCTGAAGCACTAAAATACTTTTAAAACACAGTAAAGACAACCTTTAATATTGAATCTTAATACTACTGAGCTTAAACTCACATGGATGAATCCTGTGTATTTCTTGTCAATCTCCACCAGCTGTTGGTCAGCTTTGTTCCTCATGCTGGGCTCTGGGTCTGTTCCCATTGCGATGAGGTAGGGTACGCACTGCACAGACAAATGGAAAAATTTTGGTTTACGTGCATATGCTGATACTCCCATGTATGAAACGGTGTCTTCTCACGACACCAGAGAACATTACTCTTTTTTTATCAGGCAATTTTTTTGTGGATTTACCAATTTTCTTTTTTTACCTGTACAGGATGGATGAGGCCCTGATTGAGTGTGAGAGCTATGACGCTGAGAGCAAAGTGCCGTACGCTGGACTGGGTGTGAAAGAACGCCTCCAACACTTGTTTTAGATAAAGCTGCATAATGGAGCTGCTCATCCCTGAAGAAATGTCTCCCATCTCTTTCAGATCCTCTTGTTTTGACAGTTTCTTCCCTAAAAATGTAACAACAAAAAAAAGTTAACTCAGCTTATAAAATCAAATTTTCTTCAATTAAACTAAAGTACCACTATGTAATATTAACCAAATAACTCAGTAGAACAGTATAATATTTGTTTTATGTCCTGATACTAATAGAAAAATGCAGCTCTAGATTGTAACGGTGCATGTACAGAAATAAAAAGCTGTTGTAGCACAGACTGCTTACATTCTCTGTCCGCTTCCTGCATTCGTGTGTCCTCTTCTTGAAGGTACGTCTGCAGGTTTTTAAGGATCTGGATTTTGAGATTGATGGAGGACAAGCTGTCTGCCAAAATCCCATTGTACAAGGACTTCACCTCAGGCACAAACATCTGGCTGGGATGCATGATGACAAGGAAACCTGCAAGAAGAGAATAGAAGAATTTATGACATGAAAACAAAAATAATTAATATAATTCTATCTTATGGCGTAAGAACAGCTTTCTTAGTCTTTTACCTAAGCCAATGATGGCTTTGGTCTTGACTTCCTCATCCTCATGTTTGGTGAAGTATAGCAGCAGCTCAAGAACTTTTTCCTTGATAATAACCTGCAGGCAAGATACAAAATCCTCATAACTGTCAGGTTAGCAATTGAGATGCAGACATTTGCGTTAAATGTTGGCATAAAAATACTAATAGAAATTAACATGGCAACAATGCATAGCTTTGTCTATTTTAGAATGATGATCAAATCTGCTTCTTTTTTTTTTTTTACCTTGTTGGGGCCTTTAAACTCCTCCAGATCAAAGTCAAAGTGTCGAGCCAATGCACCCACAGTGAACAGAGATCGCAGAAGAAAAGGCTTGTTTGCTGCTAATGTTGTGCTATTGGGGTCCTCTTGATGTTGGATCTTAAGTTTGTTAAGTGCACCTGAGGATAAAATAAAAACAAACCTTTGAAATTAAAAAAATGTTGGTCCGTCAAAATGTTTTGTTTGAATTTTCATATATCATGAAGGTCCTAAATATATTTCTCACCATAAAATTTGTTGAAGCAAGCCAAGACAAACTTGTAGTTATGTGTGACTTTGTTTACAACAGCTCCAAGACAGCTTACACAGTGCTGAACCACCTAAAGAAAAGCAGGAAAACAGGTCATTTCACAGGATAAATTAAAATACTTTATAATCACAAAAATGACCGTCACGTACCGTCATGCCATATTTAATTATGAGCTTCATGAGGTCTTCCTCAATGGTGGCAAGAAAAGTTTCACTTGGATGCTCCATCAGAGGCACCACGAGCTCCAAGATCTTCGCTACATTACAAATAACCATGAAGTCATTGGCAGTCTGCAGAAAAAGAACAATCGTTACTGAAGAACCACAGTCGATACAACCATCAACAGTGATTTCAAAAGGCATCATACAACCTTAAGACAATAGTACTTTGTTAAAGGTTTACATAAATAAACAACAAAAAGGGCTTACAGCTAGAAAAATACTACTCATATAAACAACAATGCATTAGTTATTTATTTAAAAAAAATCTTAGCCAAAATGCAAAAGTAATGAGCAGAAAAAACATATTCACATTTATAGAAAGGATTTTAAAAAGTAGCTGTCAGAACATACACAAAACGAATTTTACATCAATGTGATGTCCAAAATGCATTGTAAAAATATAAACTCAATGTTTCACTCATCTTCCCAAAATTGCTGGATTCGTTGTTTCAGTTCAAATTTTGAACATTGTCCAAAGTGATGCTTAGAGGATACTAACTAGAATGAATTTAACCTTAACAACTGCTAAAAGTCTGGCTGCGTTAAGTGTATTTATAAAAGTTTTTTTTTTCAATTAACCACCAACAGGCATTCATGCATGCTGCTAAAATAACTGATGCATATTTAAACACCAATTGTAGCTAAAATTGCATTTACTTACAACAGTGAGATTATTACTTTACTAAATGGAAGAAAAAAAAGTATGCAGCTAAACTGGTTTACCAACAGAAATCCAGAATACACTGGGCTCATCAACAATTTTTGTTAAATGAAAACACTTTTTTCTTAGCAGAAAATGCAAAAACCTGCATTTGATCTGATTAGCTATGTTTCTGCTAGATACGGCCTTTCATGTGGACCAAGTTCAGTTGTCAGGCATAAATGTCATTTGCAAAACTCCTTTTCCCTTTCAAATCTGTTAGTAGTGACTTTTTTACCACCCATCTGAGAATAAGTAAAGCACACAGAAATAGTCAAGCTACATAATTAACACTTACATTACACTTTGTGGTCAGATAGGGCTGCATGGTCATGGCATGTTTGACCATTAGCTGGGCTCTAATCTTGCTGAACAAGTACAACGTGGTGATGCACGCCACCAATCGCGTTGAGTTTACCCCTTTGCTTTCTAAAAAAATAAAGAAAGAACATTAGAGAAAACCATTAAAATTTTCAGTCTTTGCTATGTACATGCAAAACACGTATTCAATACAATATTATCAAGTCTACTATAGGATAAAAACAGATCAAAACAAAGTGAGTAAATGAAGATAAATCAGTTTAAAACGTTTACCTGCAAGAGACTCTTCGTATTTAAGGATGTGCTCCACCAGATTGTCAACGAGCTGAACACATGCCTTTTTAGCTGGTTTATACGACGCATCCTCTTCGGATTTAAGAAGCTACAACAGGAGCAATAACATTAGGGTTTTTTTAGATTTGAAAGGATATTGTGCTTACTATGCTCAAATACAAAATTAAATACGTACATTTTGGAGAAGTTGTTCAAACCAGTCGTAACCAGTGTCTCGACATGCTGCAACCTGAGGTAGGTGACAGGTGAATAAACTATGCGTGACAAAGTTCATCATTAATTAATAACAATAAGAGCCTATTCACTAAATATTTTTTTAATTTGGCATACACAACAAACGTATGACTCAGCCAAACTTACAACATCAGTAATGTTGAGAATCTTTCTGGTCATGGTCTCTTTGTCATGTGCCGGTGTTGGAGTAAACCACAACTTCTGGAATGTCTCATTCACCAGTTTCTGGAACAAGTCAATTATAATCATTTCCAGCTCTAGGGTGTGTAAATGTAAATATAAATAAATATTGCACTAGTCATATTTATTTAAAATGTCACACCAAATTTATAGAATAATGGGGGGAAAAAAACAGAGAGGTATCTGAACCATACCTTGATGCCTTCCTCATCATTGACCCTGCGGATCATCTTCACGCACATCTCAGTAATCTTACTGAAGGTTGGTTGCTCCAGACAGATATCTCTGAGAATCTTGATCACACGCTTTCTCACACTTATACCAGTGTCCTAAATATAAAATCACAAATCAACCTTAAAACATAACAATACACTGCTCGGTGAAGCTTTAAATAAAAAAAAGACACTTTTTTTAATTGCCTGGATAAGGAGCAATAGCATTGGATGGCCAATAGATGGCAGCATAAGACTGTAAAGAAGAGTGAACTTCACATGAACCCTGCTTCACATTTCCATGACAACAGCAACAATAATGTGACTAAGTACCAGATGCTAGCATAAAAAATACTTTAAAACCACCCAGTACAGACAGCTTTTGTAACATCAGCCTTTAAACACTACCACTACTGATGACTACTGATGTAAATCATAAAAAGCTAAAAAATAAAATAATTCAGTTGCTTTGCTTTTGAATCTTGCAGTGTCTTTGTAGGGTAAAATTTCACTTCTTTTTTTTTGTTGATAAATGAACATTTAAAATGAATGCATAGTTTGACAAGTTTTCAGTATCTTCTCTAGTGATAAAGAATTAAAATTCTAATGACCAGTAGCATCAGAGCAAATAAAGGTGTAAAAAGATTCCTTACCAGAATCCTCTCTATGAGCATGTCGTAGTATTGCTCAGTGAGCTGGGGTCTGCTGAGCACAAACCTGCCCAGCAGCTCCACAGCTGCCTCTCTCACACTGGTGGAGTTGTCCATCAAACGACCATGAACACCTCGCTGCATGTCAGACTACACAAGTAGAGAATATCAGAGAGTAAGTGTCAAACAGAGAATAAACACTGTAAAACATCTTAAAGACATAACTGCAGCAAATGTGATATAAACGTGGAATTAGGATGTAAATATATATATATATATATATATATATATATATATATATATATATATATATAACATAAACATATACAAACCGGATTCCAAAAAAAGTTGGGACACTAAACAAATTGTGAATAAAAACTGAATGCAATGATGTGGAGATGGCAAATGTCAATAATTTATTCGTAATATAACATAGATGACAGATCAAAAGTTTAATCTGAGTAAATGTAACATTTTAAAGGAAAAATATGTTGATTCAAATTGCAGTGTCAACAAATCCCCCCAAAATTGGGACAAGTAGCAATAAGTGGCTGGAAAAAAGAAAGTGAGCATATAACGAACAGCTGGAAGACCAATTAACACTAATTAGGTCAATTGACAACATGATTGGGTATAAAAAGAGCTTCTCAGAGTGTCAGTGTCTCTCAGAAGCCAATATGGTAAGAGGATCACCAATTCCACCATTGTTGCCAGAAAGATAGTGCAGCAATACCAGAATGGTATTACCCAGCATAAAATAGCAAAGACTTGTAAGTTATCATCATCAACTGTGCATAACATTATCAAAAGATTCAGAGAATCTGGAACAATCGCTGTGCGTAAGGGTCAAGGCCATAAAACTCTACTGGATGCTCGTGATCTCTGGGCCCTTAAACGTCACTGCACCTCAAACAGGAATGCCACTGTCAAGGAAATAACAGAATGGGCTCAGGAATACTTCCAGAAAGCATTGTCAGTGAACACAATCCACCGTGCCATCCGCCGTTGCCAGCTGAAACTCTACAGTGCAAAGAGGAAGCCATTTCTAAGCAAGCTCCACAAGCTCAGACGTTTGCACTGGGCCAGGGGTCATTTAAATTGGAGTGTGGCAAAATGGAAGACTGTTCTGTGGTCAGATGAGTCACGATTTGAAGTTCTTTATGGAACACTGGGATGCCATGTCATCCGGACCAGAGAGGACAAGGATAGCCCAAGTTGTTATCAACGCTCCGTTCAGAAGCCTGCATCACTGATGGTATGGGGTTGCACGAGCGCTTGTGGCATGGGCAGCTTGCATGTCTGGAAAGGCACCATTAATGCAGAAAACTATGTTCAGGTTCTAGAACAACATATGCTCCCATCTAGACGTCATCTCTTTCAGGGAAGACCCTGCATTTTTCAACACGATAATGCCAGACCACATTCTGCAGCAATCACAACATCATGGCTACGTAGGAGAAGGAGCCGGATACTGAAATGGCCAGCCTGCAGTCCAGATCTTTCACCTATAGAGAACATTTGGCGCATCATAAAGAGGAAGGTGCGACAAAGAAGGCCCAAGACGATTGAACAGTTAGAGGCCTGTATTAGACATGAATGGGAGAGCATTCCTATTTCTAAACTTGAGAAACTGGTCTCCTCTGTCCCCAGACATCTGTTGAGTGTTGTAAGAAGAAGGGGGGATGCTACACAGTGGTAAAAATGGACTTGTCCCAACTTTTTTGGGATTTGTTGACTCCATGAAATTTGGAAACAACAGATTTTTCCCTTAAAATGATACAATCTCTGTTTAAACTTTTGATCTGTGATTTGTGTTCTATTCTGAATAAAATATTAGATGTTGCCACCTCCACATCATTGCATTCAGTTTTTATTCACAATTTGTTTAGTGTCCCAACTTTTTTGGAATCCGGTTTGTATATTAAACTCTAACCTTGTGTAGTTTGTGAACATGGATCACTGAAATGTATAATTCTTAACCAACACAAATCCTAACTTACCCTTGCCAGTATGCTGGGGTCCACAGCCACAACCTCAGACAGACATTTCATGGCTTTAGTCCTTACAGCAATGGCACTTTCCCCAAGAACTCGCAAGATCTATGAAAACATTTTTTTTTAAATACAGCTGCCTATGATCAAACAAACTTCAACACTTCAGATCATTCAGATCAAATCACTCAACTGTTTTTACCAATTATATTTTTGTAAAAACTGATAGATTATTTTATGACTGGCAAGCAAATATAAAAATATACATAGAAACATTCAAAACTTACCTGTGTTAAATAAATATCAAAGCTCTGGGCGAAGGGCCTCATAGAGGCCAAATAACGCACAATCAGACAGGAATCATCATAGTCCACAGTGTCAGAGTTCATTCTGAAGAAAAAAGCAAAAATGTGGTAAAGTTTACATCTTAAAACTAGCCATATCATAAACTGAAAGTTCGGAGAACAAATTACCGTAATTTCTGGACTATAAGCGTTTTTTGGGTTTTTTTTCCACATGAACATTAAAAAAAGGTTTTCTACACTTTTGTTGTAAAAGTCAAAAGCCGAAACATGGACAGGAAGTTTGTGAAATATACATCCCAGGTTTTAAATTCCTACATCTGATTTCTGTCCATGCCACAAACCTTTAAAATGAATGAGCATAAAGCTTACATTTTTCAATTGTAACAACACGATAACTTTTTTTTTTGACTCTACAACGAGAGAATAAGAAGGGTTTGTAACCTGGTATGGCATGTTGACAATTACAGAAATGTTCATACATGAACAAACACCTAATTAAAAAAAAAAGTGTAAAATATTTTCTAAATTAAGAGTTTTTAGAAAGAAACCCTATTCAGCCAAAACATGTCTATGAAGTAAAACTGTAAGTTGTAATAAAAAGTGTCTAAACAGTTGAAACTGAACATTTCAAAAAACAGATTAGTCAAACTTTGACATGTGGAGTACAACAGAACGACGTCTAACAATCCTTACTTGAGTGTGGTAAAATGAGTCGGCGTAGTTTTTATGATGTTGCGTAGAAACTTTTTCCGTTTCTCTGCACGCTGCATGATTTCACCAGTAGTTTCTATCTCTTTCGCATGCTGTGGTCCATCTGACGAGTCCTCATCTTTTGGATTCTGGTTCCGCATGGACTTCTCGGCTTCTGTTGTAGCATCACGAAACCACTGAGCTACATAAAATTTTCTGGAAAACTACAAGACAAAAAAATATATCAGAGTAAGTGATGTGAAAATTTTCTTCAAATAATGAAATCAACGAAACCGGATAAAATGAGAAAAATAAGACGAATATAACGTGAACTAACAGGTACCATTCTTTGATAGTCAGCATGCAAACAAATTTCAGATATCTGCCCTCGCATATCAGCAGTTTGCAGATGAATGTAAAGAGGATGGGATGAGCACCTTCAAACCTGAGGGCATGATCAGAAAAGGGTAATTTCCCTCTCCAGGTGGGAATGAGGTTCTGCCTCAAGTGGAGGACTTCAGGTATCTCAGGGTTTTGCTCACGAGTGAGGGAAGAAAGGAGTGGGAGATCGACAAGACAGATCGGTGCAGCTTCTGCAGTATTGTGGACTCCGTGCTGGTTTGTTGTGGTGAAGAGGGAGCTGAGCTACAAGGCAAAACTTTCTGTTTACCAGTAGGCCTGTGTCCATATCCTCACGAATTCTGGGTAGTGACCAAAAGAATGAGAATGTAGATACAGGTGGTCGAAATGAGTTTTCTCTGCAGGGTAGCTGGCCTCCCTTAGAGATAAAGTGAGAAGTTCAGGGACTCAAAGTAGAGCCACTGCTCCTCAACATCAAGAGGAGCCAGTTGAGGTGGTTCAGGCATCTGGTAACGACTAGGAGGAGTCCACAAGAAAGACCCAGGACAAGCTGGAGAGACTACAGTATGTCTCTCGGATGGCCTGGGAACATCTTGGAATTCTCTCTGAAGAGACAGAAGAGGTGGCTGGGGAAAGATATGTCTGGGCCTCCCTACTTAAGCTGCAGCCCAAGCGACCCGACTCCAGAATAAGTGTAATATAATTAATTGAAGGGTTGACTGACCGACTGTGCACTTGCACAGTCTGATATAAACTCACCACAAGTGAAGGATCTGTCTCGGCGTTCTCTTCCATATAGTCCAGTAAAGCTTTCTGCAGCTGCTGGGTCTCATCACTGCCTTGAGACTAAATAATCACAGATATAGATTACACACAAGTCCATCTTCTGTATGAAAAAAAATGGTGTGCAAATGCATAATAAATAAATAATTTATTTTAGACACGTGTTCATAGATAGAATGAAATTCACCAGCGTCATGCAGTCTATGCTTCATAAACTGTTTTTTCCCCTCTTATGCCCAAAATATCCCACCTTTTACAGAAAAAGTTTATCTTGATTTTCTGAGTAATTCACTTCACAATCAGTTTGAATATTGTATCTGCTAAATGAACATTCCCCACCTCTTCTAGGATTCGATCAATGGATCTCTGGTCCATCTTGCTTGTAACAGCGTCCTTCCTTAGACGAGCAGCTACTGTGCCAAGGTAGTCTAGAGATGCTACTCTCAGAGCCATTTCTGTCTGTTTATTACTGAACTGGTGCACCTAATTGAAGCAAGAACAGAGAGAAAGATAGACAGGATTTTATGAACAGATAAAAAGGAAATGCACTATTATTTTACAGCAAGTTTCATTTAAGTTACAACTTGATACAAACTACTCTTAACAATACTTACAAAATATTGCTGCACAAATGGTCACACTTCAAGTATAAAGACAGGAAGCATTCGTACTAACCAGTAGTCTACCAAGCAGACTGAGCAACAACTCTGCAGCAGGCCACTCAGGTTTGTTTACTGTTGACAACAGGTCCTGGACAAAGTTCTCAAACAACGGCCGATAATCTTCTTCCCCCTGTTTGCTGCCACATCTGAAGGCAAGGAAAGTGGTAGAAAGCAGGAGGAGTAGGGAGACAACGACAATAGAAATTTAAAAAAGGTCTGATGAGAATGCCCTTGTTGGGACTATAATAAACTCCAAAGAGGCAAAAACTGAGAGAAAATTAAACCAGTTCAACAAAATGTTTAAGAAATCCAAACATTATAAAGGCAATAAATATTTATTAGATTATTTATAAAAAGTGGGTGCCATAAAAAATGAAGAAAACACTCAAAACTTTAACAAAAAAGTTTTAATTATTCATGAGTCTTTATCGTAGAGAAATTCTAAAGTTGATTAGATGACCCACTAACATAATCAAAAGTTTCACAGTTAATATAAAAAATATATAGGATGAAATAGTAATTACTTTTTGAGGAAGACTGAGAGGAAATTTTGTGCTGTTCTCATTGCTGTCTCATAAGAGTTGGTTATCAAGACGTCCTGATCCACCTAAAAGAGAAAAGATTTCCTTAAAAAAAAACTGTTTCTAAAGCTGATGCACTAAAGAACAAACTAGACTCCCTCTTACTTTGTCATACTCTTCAAAAACATCCTTGTCACTGGGAAGATGGACCACACATTGGATCAACTGCAGCACTAGAGCTGTTACCATCTGAATGTACATCGGTTCTCCATCCTGGTCCGAGCTGTTTAGCCTTAAGACATAAAAGGATAGGATAATGGGCATGTGGTCATTCTGCCGGTCTAAATACATCGGAAAAAAATGTAATTTGAAACTCAAGACACTGAAAAATTCCCCCTCCCACCATGAATATTTTTCTCACTGAAGTCTTCTACAGTAGACATGCCTCAAAAAAGTACATTATCCATAAAACATCAAACATAAATCAGTGTAAACAGATGTTTTAACAAAGTACCTGAAGTTCCTAAGAGAGCGTTTGCTGGTGGGCAATCTTGCCAAAGAGGTAAAGATTTCCTCCAAGATAAGCTGCCGATGCTTCTCATAACGTGAGAAAACCTGAGGGGACAGGAAATTATCTATTAGTTTATAGTTGGAAAGGAAAATTTAACAATAAAACTAATGTAATAGTTTAAACCATGACCCAACAGCTTGATTCAATAAAGAGTCTTTAGAGCAGAAAGGACTCACCGCTGTGACAAGTTTAATGGCACATAACTGCAGCTCACTGACATTCTCCACAAAAAACGGAGTGATTCCCATAGAAGAAACCTGTAAGTTCAAAAAAGAGGAGGAAAAAATTGTTTCCGACATTCTAAATTGTCTAAATGTTTGTAAATGTGTTTTGTTTTTACCTGGAGGATGGTGGTGTCTGTAAGCAGCTGGATTTCTAGGAGCTCTGAAATGTTGCTGACAATGTCACAAATTTTGTTGTACAACATTACAATGACACGTTGCTTGTGTGTGGAGCATTTTGCACGCTTTGCCCTGGAGCTCAACATGCCACCTAGACAAATAAGGATAGCAAAGTTAAAAGCAATATTACTTGCTTCTTTTGGTCATGAGTAAAACAATGTACAGTGATCTTTCACCTATGTAACATTCCAGAGACCCCACGATAGGCAAAAATCCACGAAGTAGCAGCATTATATTTATTTTATTATTTATATATATTTAAGGCTTTATAAACCCTTCCCACACTCCTACAAACCTTTCCGACTCTCTTACTAACCTTTCCTTGTAATAAATTTAGTGGAGAACCCAGACACAAAACACAAAACTTGGTCAGGATGAGGGTATCAATGAAGAGTATGAGATAATCACTGGACATTTATTTGTGCAAAGCTTTCAATAATCTGGTGCCGACAGAGAACAGGGGAGTGCTTAATGCTATGACCACCAGGTGAGAAGAGTTATGCTGCTCACAGCGTAGCAGGTGGGCGTGGTGAGCAGACAGTCATGAATCATGACATTCCTACTCTCTTACAAACACTTCATGTGCTCTTAAACACTTTGGCGATGAAGATGGTGATGATGAGATGAATGTACAGCACTGCACAGCATGTACAATACACACAGTATAAAAACGGGGTTTAAATAACTCGTGATACAGTGAAGTCTCAAGAACTGAACCGCCATATAGTGAGGGATGACTGTAGTTAATAGCATCTCTCAAGGATTAAAAGTTATTTAACAAACTTAAAATGAATTTAATTAATCTCACATTTAATAGATTATAAACTCTTCAAAGATCGCTCAATGAAAACAACTCAAAATTATGGCCTGATATCTTAACACATCCATCCACCCATTATATGTACCCGCTTCTTCCTTTCTGGAGCGCAGGGTTCACTGGTGCCCATACCCAGCAGTCACTGTGCCAACAGGCGGGGGACACCCTGGACAGGTCTCCAGTCCATCACAGGGACACATAGAGACAAACAACCATTCACACCCTCACTCACATCTAGGGACAATTTAGAGTTCCCAATCAGCCTAACATGCATGTTTTTGGTCTGTGGGAGGAAACCAGAGTACCCGGAGAAAACCCACACATGCACAGAGAGAACATGCAAACTCTCCCCAGAAAGGCCCCCAGCCGGGATTTGATCCATCAACCTTCCCAATGAGAGGTGGCACCTCTACCAACTGAGTCACCGTGCCACCCATCTTTACACATCATAAATTAATTCAATTGTGCATTAACTGAATTTATAGTGGAAAAAAAATCCTGCAACCTACAACATCCAAAAACTGCACAAAAATCCAATATTTCAACACCAGAAAGCCAGATGAGATTCAGTTGTCAGGGCAGAAGGTTTTAAAAATGTAATAATAAAATTAAGAGTGTTTAAAAGTCATGGGAAAAAATAATAATAATGGTATTACCTCCATGTGGGTCCACCCTGTAGACAGGATCATACTGTGGGTACAAGGTGTTCTGAAGGTGGAACTTGGTGTACTGTAGAACCCGCTCAATCACATCTTCAATGTAGACAGCCTTAGGCATGTGCATTGAAGTCATGACATTAAGAGCTGTCAGACAGGCATCTGCTGATTTTGTGACTCTCTCCATTATTAGATCTCTCCAAAGTCTTTCCTCATCTTCAGCATCTTGATCCTGAGAAAGTAGAAGAGGGAAAAAAACAACATTAAAGGACAGACAGTTTTATCCTTGCCACCAAAAAATCTTTAGTGTAACTTAATAATAATCTGCTGTTACCATTTTTAACATCTTATAACGGAGAATTATGTGAATCAGAGAAGGAACTCACATGATTCATCAAGGTAGAGAGCTTGGATCCATCCTGGATGTTCTTTTCTAGGATGTTCAAGAGCTTCACTAACTTGTCTGAGGGGATCTACAAGAACAATATTATTTAAGCCCACATCTGAAATATAATCACACCAAGTTTAACCATCACATTAATAAACTATACCCTGCTTGTGATGCCCATGGCTTTAATTTTGGCTGACTCACTGCCCAGCTCATTCAACTGGTGTTTACCGAGCAGCAATTCCTGAGGTATCTCATCATCATCTGCTGTAGGAAACCATAAAAGCATTAGGCAAAATATAGAATGAGGCCTAAATGTACATGCAAAGCTAGTTTAAAAGTTATAAACTCTGATAATCACCCATGGTAGTGAAGTCCACATCCTCCAGATTTTCTAGTATGTTGTCAATGCTTGCTGAGAACCTCTTGAATGTGAACGAGTCCATTAGCTCTTCTTGGGTTAGTTTGGGCTCATATGCTTTCCTTTTCTTCTGCTTCTCCTTCATCTTCATTTTTCTGGCAACTGAATGAGAGAATACTTTATTATAGATCTCAAGGTTCTATTTACGTGACACATTAAAAGGTCTAAATTTGTTGCTTGACTTCTGATTGACGGCAAAATACTGATAAATTTGCTTTAAAAGAAAGCATATTACAATTTTTATGTAGAATTCCAAAACATGACCACTACCAAAAAAAAAACAACAACTTTAAATGGTAGAATTCATACGTTCGCTCATGCTGGGTGGTGGTGAGTCTTCATCAGAGGAATCGCGGTAGCGACTCCCTGAGCCTCGCCGGCTGTCTCGGTGCCCACTTTTCCGGTGGTCCCCTGAACCTCGTCGCTCTCTTTCTTCAAATTCCCAGGTTCTGTCTTTGTCTCGTCTGTGACGCTTCCTTGCCGCTGTAAAGATTTAACAACAAAATCAGATCCTTAGCGCTAAAAACCAGCAAACACCAGTAATGTCAATTTAGGTTTTACTCATGTAACGTATATGACATGCAGGTTAAAACACTGTAATGCAGTTTTCATATGACAGGGACCTTCAAACAATTGGAAAAATTGACATTATTTGATAAACAATTACTTCAACTAAAAAAATGAAATAGTAAAAATGCTGTGGGCTGTTTATTTATTTATTTTTTTTAATGACACGTAGATGTCACCATTTTGTATATGTCCTAACGCATTCTGAGTAAATGATGTAGATAGGTTGCTCCAGCCCAAGCTTCATTTAGCTTAAATGTTAATTTTGGACCATGTCTGACAGTAGTCCCTCCCTACTTGGTGGTTTGACTTTTGCAGACTTGCTCTTTTGTGGTTTTTCAAAGTAAGATTTGACATGAAAAACTGGCTGATTGATGGATGAGCTGCACGAGTGGCATGAATTGTTTATTTAAAATAAATTGTTGTAAATGATTTAGCACCTGCTGCACCTGTGGAGAGAACCTCCCTCCTGCAGCATGTCATGATCGCCGCTCTTTGCCACCTGCCACGCCCATTTCTTCGCTGCAATCACACTCGTGCTCATCACCTGTGTCACTCCCAGTCGCCCTCCTTCTACAGTTTTCCCCCTTCCATTAAACATGCGGGGCACCCCACCCCGTCAACAGAACCGAGCAGCCCGCTTACCGAACCAAACTGCACGAACCTCCCCACCTGTCAGTAGTGACTAAGCTAGCGACACACAATACAGGCATGCTAGCTAAAAACGGAAAGGTAGTGCTCACGCTGCCTCTTCCCTCACGCTGAACCCCCACCCCCGCTTTGAAAACCGTCGGCCCTAACAGCGTGCAGCTCAGCTGCGTCCGTCTCCCCCCACCCCCCCAAAACTGTATGTTGACATCAACAGCTCACTGACATGTTCCAACAGACATGTCCCCCTGCCGCCCATCGACAACAATCACGGACAAGATGCACATCCCACCATGGCAGGTTATATAGGGGAAACACTGCTCTGTGTAAATATACAATTTTTATTTAAATACTTTAATAGTTTAAATAAACAATCCATGCCACATGAGCAGCATTATTTATTTTAATTAATCAAGGGTGACCCGAACCGAGCCTTTCGTCCCCCTTGGCGAACGGCTCTGTTGGATCAGAATCATCGTCTCTCTATCACCTCCAGTTAGTCTAGAACGATGCTGCACGTCTTTTAACAGGAACTAAGGCCCTATTTACACGGACACGATGGGGGGGAAACTTAGGTTTTTTCGTATGTTAATTAGAGGAAAAGATTTGCGTTGACACAGTCGGATTTTGGGTTTACATGCATCCGCAAGAATCCACCCCCAGCCCTCCCGAATCCGCTGAAGTTACCATGCCGGGTCATTAGATGGCGCTGTGAATTTTGTACCTTCACCTAATGCACATGTGTGCTGCCTCGGCACACTCTTTTTCTCTGGGCTAAAAGCTCAGCTGACAATATCTTAACAACAAGTTAAATCTGGTTTTTGGCTGGATTTTGGATAAGAGTCGACGGATTTGACGCCAAGCGGGACCGCTTCGTCTAACAGCTCCACACCGGTCGCTGAGTGGACCAGAACTGAGTCGATGATGTCGGACTTTACTCCATGATAATCAGTAGCTGATTTACTGCAGGTAAATCAAATGTTCTTAATAATGTTTGCTTGTGTTCCCATCAATTCCCATCAGTTCTTTTATTCAATCCATTTAATGTTTTAAGCTGCATTAATCAAAGGAGTGACTTCCTGAACGAGCCAGATGGACAACGTGGAACCAGATTCCAGGATGAAAACAAGAGTCCAGTTCATTAATGCAGGTTACAGTTAACTTGTTTTTAATAGTGTGTTCAGTTAAATTATCAGTGTTTGTGTGACATACAGTTTGTGGTGTTGAATAAATAAATAAAATAAAAATTAAACCTGCTGTCTTCATTTTCAACTTTAATAACTTGCGATATGTTTAGCATCATTTTAATCACATAATTTGAATTATGTAATGTCCAGATAGCTTCATTATATATCTCAAACTTAAGATAAACACTGTTTATTATTATTAAACTGTTATTATTTAGCACATTTAGCATGTTATAGTGCAGCGCGACGTGTGCGCGTGCCTCGTTCTATAAACAGCGACATTAGAACTGGATCAGACTGTCTCTTCCAACACAGATGTTGGTCACAGCACCTGGAAACTGACATAAATTAACTACGAGATTATAAATATATTCCATCAGTCATAGTTCAGAAAGCAGTGTATCCGCCGCCATGTTGATATAAATATAGCGTCGGTCCGCACGTGCGTGTTCGCATGTGGTTTAACACAAAGCCTCAGTGTGAGATGTTTACATTATCAGCGGGGGGTCAGCGAAAAACCTCCACTCTGGAAGGTGGATTCAGAAACCTCCGGATTCAAAGAGGGGGGCCACTGGTGTCGTGTAAAGCCCCCAGTATACTGCCGCGTACATCCATATGCAGAGGTACGTACGCAGAGGTACGTGCGTACCCCCCAGGGCATGTCTGTGCAAAGCTCAAATTTTTACGACCGCATACGTGTACGCGGTGTCGCACAATAAACTGCCCAGCGACGGACTGTTTTGTATGCGACACCAATGCATTAAATTCTCCTTCTTCATCCCTGATCTGGCCTTTTCTTTTGTTTTTTTGCCAAGAGGCAGTGATCTCTTCCTCCTCCGTTGATGCCATGACTGAAATGGTGAGAAATGAAGGAATTTGTCACGAGCAAATTAAACTCAGGTCCAGCGTGGCTGCGGGAGGGTCTGGAGATTTCCTGGTGGGCTGGTCTGATGTGTGGGCTGTAGAGCCAGCTCTCCCTGTTTTTTTAATTTTTTTAGAGCTTTTTATTAACAACATATAAACACAGAACACTGCTGAGGTTGAGGCTGCCAGCACTCACTTTTTTTCTTTTTTCTGACCTGTCAATCAATCCAGTAGGCGTGTCAGCAAATTACCAATCGGCGACCTCAATTTGTCCCGAAGGTAAACGCCCCTTGTCTGTGAAGCTGCTCTGCAGCTGATCGGGGTGTACGCTGGAGTATCATGTCTGTACCCTCTGCGTACAGTACACGCGTATGTACGCGGCAGTATACTGGAGCGTTTAATAATCAGCAGAACCGCAGAGAGAAAGCTGCGGATGCACTCAAAATACGCGTTGTGTAAACGGCCCCTAAAAGGCATGACCACATCAGTCCTCTTGTAGCTGACTTACACTGGCTATCTGTTTTTTTGTATTGATTTTAAGATTATTTTACTGACTTTCAAAGTTGTAAATGGCTTGGCCCCCAGTTACTTAATGGATCTTTTGCATTTTTATAATCCAAACAAAACACTAATGCCCCTTTTGCACCGCCCCTAATAAGCCCCAATTCTGGGCAGCCCGCCACATAAAGAACCCTTTTGCACCAGCCCTTTAGCTAGTATTTTGAGCTGATTTGAGGCTGATTCAGGACATCTTTTCGTCCCTGCTTTGCTGGTGGGACCGAGCGAGCTCAGCCGAGCCGAGTCCGGACCGAAACGTGAATGCAGGACTCTGATTGGTCAGGGGGAGGAGTCACTTAATCTCAGAAACTTTTCACTGAGCCGCCATTTGCAATTTCTCTGGATGTGGAGCAGCGGCTGGATCTATTTTTAAGATTTTAAAAACAATAATGACAACACCGTTTTTAATTCTGAAGTCCAGGTGCATTTTGTGTTTGGTGACCAACTATAAAATTTGAGCGAGCGGTGTCACCGCAGAGGATCATATGAGCTGACGAGCTGTTGAACCCCGCGAGGCCGAACCCCGAGCCCTGGCCTCGCCAGCTCACAAAGGCCGGATTCGAGCCCTGGCAGGCGGGAGGACTGGGATGGAGGGACGGGGGGTGGAAACGTTTTTTTTTTTTAACATTTTACGTATAAAATATAAGCTTTTTTTATCAGTGAAGACTAAAAATAAATAAACGGTGCCGGCTTTATCGTGAAATCCTGTTTTCCTTTGACTTTATTAAATAATCTGTTAATTAAAGTTAATTCAACTGAAAAATTATAAAAAGACAAAATTATTGAATCTCATATTTCCCTCCAACATGTTTAAAGAAGAGATACAGCCTTTGGTTCAACATTATTCTAACCCACAGATGTACAAATCACAAAACAAGCATTACACTTTAAATTAAAGCTTTAAATCAAAGCTAAATTTTAATTCAAAGCTAAAAATGATCTGTATACAAGAAATAGTAATTTGTATACAAGAAACAAAACCACTATGAGTGCAAATACATCAAATGATGAAGAAAAATATAGAATTTTAAATATCGATATCCTGATGCATGCTCAATAACCCAGGTAAAAAAAATCTAAAAAAGTTAAGTCTGGTCCTCTGGACATTCAAAAAACAAACAAAAAAAAAAAAAAGTAGAAATGTTTCTTCTTTCATCCAAAAGACTTCTTCAGTCTGAGGTGCTGTATTCAGCTCAGTCTTATATAAATAGCTATGAGCTGAATACAGCTCCTCAGACTGAAGTCTTTCGGATGAACGACAAAACATTTCTACCTTTTTTTGTTGTTTGTTTTGTTTTTTGAACGTCCAGAGGACCAGACTTAACTTTTTTAGATTTAAATATAAATGTTTTTGTAGAATCTGGTTCATCAGATTTAATTCAGTTCAGTTTATTTATACAGCGCCAAGTCACAACAGAAGTCGTGTCAGGGCACTGAACAGAAATATTCATATATAAAAATAATTATTTAATATTATTTATCTGAGGAGCAGACCGCTTTGAGTTACTCATCGCAGAACTCTCATTAGCAGGACTTGGATTCTGGACACGCCTCCAGAATCGGTCCTAAAGTGCAGGTGCAAATCCAGGCTGAGCTGAGCCAGGCTGAGTAGGGGTGTGCAGGGCTGAGCAGAGTTGGAACTTATTAGGGGCAGTGCAAAAGGGGCACAAAATCCTCCAGTCAGATGCTTTTAGCATAGCCAAGGGCAAAATTAAAACACAGAGGGGATTGGGCTTTTGCTGCGGCAGCCCTCAGACTCGAGAGCAATCTGCCCATTGATATTTGGTGAGAAACAGCCATTAACATAGAAAGGAGGACCATCAGCCAAACAACTGGTCGTTAATGCCCTGATGGATGCTTGTTATTCACAGAGGGCTAAGTGACACTTGCAATAAAAGCATTGTAAGTGTGTGATAGTTGAATTCAGCTTTCCTCTCCATCAGGAATATGTATGTAAGAATATTAAGAGTATCACTCAGTCCCCAGTGAATAGCAAGCAGCCATCAGGGCTCTTACGACCTACTGTTAGGGCTCTGACGATCAAGTGTTAGGTTGATGGTCTTCCTTTTACATGTGAATAGCTAGTTCTGGCAGTCAACAGCAACTGGTTGGTCCACTGTGAGAAGGTGCCATTTGACTGAGTTTTTTGCGGCTCCTCAGACTGAGGGTCTTTAGGATAAAAGATGAAACATTTTAACAAAGAAGAATCTGTTCAGAAGACCTGACTTAACCTTGTTAGATTTTTCGACCTGGATTATTGAGCAGCATCAGGACATAAACCGTTCATGATGCTCATTGACTGAAAAACATTTCTTCTTGTAACTCTTCAGAAATAACACGTTTTTGAATTTGTTGTTAATCTGTTATGATTATGGTTTTGAAGGTATCTTTTTTCTCTTTCTAAAATAAACTAATTACATTATTGCCCTGGCAAATAGCTTAGGTTTCATATTTGATATGATGTTCTTGTTTATGTTACTAGAAATACTTTATTAGCTAAGGGAACGCTGCTGTTAAAAAGTGCCTTTTTAAATGTACTGAACCTTTTATTTTTATATAAAACAGTAACTTAAAATGCTCTAAATGTCTTTGAGTCATAACTTAATTTTGTGCATAATAATGCGATTAATCTCAAAAATATTTGGAGATTATTCACGATTAAAAAATTTAATCTTTAAATTAGCTTCAGAGGTAATACCATTTGTTCCAATCCAGAGCTTATGTATAATAATAATAATAATAATGTCATCACAATGTCAACACTGTATGTTTCCATACAATGGCGAAATTAGTCTCTGCATTTAACCCATCCACCACCAGGTGGTGCAGTGGGCAGCTATTGAGGGCAACCGGGGGGCATTTTGGGGGTGAGGCATGCTGCCCAGTAGACGCCACGTGATGTGCAGTGACTGGGGATCGAACCTGGGACTTTCGGGTCCCAAGCCGGCTGCCCTGCCTCTACACCATCTCGGCTCCCATAGTTAGCTGTACAGCGATATCTTTTAAGCCATGTCTCCTTGCGTCTTAGTCTCCACAGCAACCTACAGGTATGTATGTCATTGCCCCAAAATGCACTGTGCCGGTAAAATAATGTTGATGTCCTTAAAAAAATTTTATGAACATATAGTAAGTTTCTTTCGGCTGCTCCATTCTTCAGGGGTTACCACAGCGAGCAAACTTGCATGAAAGATTTGTCTATTTGTTTTACGCCGGATGCTCTTCCTGATGCAGCCTATGCTCAACCCTGCAACCCCAGGATAATAAGACCGCGACACTGACCACCAAGCTACAGCAGCCCCCGAAAACTGTAATGAACATTTGTATTTTTAATTAATTAGGAGTTTTCATGTATCACAAACAACTTTTAGTAGAATGGAGAAATAAAAAGACAGTAAGCAGTAAGAGACAGTAAGATGTGCAAGTAGGTGCAAGTAGTCAGAGATCCTTAAAAAAAAATATTTTTTTTAAAGACAAGCTGTAAATCAATTTACTCACACTCTCCATTTGCCTCAAAGTCTTCATCTGAGCTGACTTCAGCATATTTGGGCTTTTCATTTATAGTGCTTCGCTTCCTCTTGTTCATCTTGACCCTTTCGCACAAAGGCATGGTTGACTCTATCTCCGCCAGCAACTCTGGGGGGAGTTCTTTCAGAATCGCTGGGTCCATCTCACCTAAATATTGGACAATAAAATGTTCAAACTGTTAATGAAGTGACCATTTCTTATATTAGAGGAGTGTATAAAAATAAGTTGGAAAATATTAAAGTAACTGAAAGATTTTAGCAAAGCAGCAATTTAAAATCTGCAAGTCTTACCTTTGCCAGACCTTCCTGAGGAGAACCTGTTTTTCCCAGTTTTGCTGTGTCGAATTATCCTCTGAATCTGGTCAACTGAGAGCTTTTTTAGAACCACCACTGGCTTGGGCCGCTTCTCAAAATCCTTCACCAAACCCAGTCTCTCCAGTTTAACCTTTGGCTGCCCCCACATTTGACCTTCACTTGACCCACTGATGTCCCTGTCACGGTTAATCTGCAGGAAAGAATACATTAAAAAGAAGAGTTAAGTCAAGTTTAAAAATCTATGTAAATTAATTTTGCATGATTTTAGGCAGAAAATATGAACTCTGGAGACAAAAAATACAATGAATAAATGGCAATTAAAAAAAATGATTCAAAATGACAAAATTTATGATTTTGATGTCAATTTCCAAGAGCCCAAGAGCAAAGACATAAAGATAAATTCCACTGTGTTTCCAATGCCTCAGTTTCTTAAGTGACACTGCACAAAGATAGAAAAAAAAATCTTGCAACAAAAGGTGAAGTTTAGGAAAAAAATACAAACGTTTAACAGGCAGTTGTCAAGACACAGTAAAAATGATTAGAACTGATTATCTGTAAAGCATAAAGTTACAGCATTATGTTCAATGTATCAAATTTGTTGTGCCAGTGATGTCAAGAGCAATAACAGAGCAGTTTCGTTCTATAGAATAGTTTGATAATAGCTAGAATAGACAAATCTAATTAAAAAAATATATTGAAAGCCTGGAAGAAATTTCCACTGAAGCTGACTAACAAGCTACAAAAACAATTTATCTTCTATAGATAATAATGGGTGTAAAGTAACCAGACTGGTTTAAAGTCTATCATATTCTGTTCAAGTGACTTAATCCACTGATTTGTCAGAATATGACTCAATCTGATCAATTCCAGGCAATAGTAGTAATAACTTGTCATATCAGATTGTCCTGTTGACTACCACAGACATGCAGTGTCAATTAAAAAAGTTTTATTACTGCTGAAACTGACAAGATGATTTTCATCTTTGTGGCTAAACGGAGACAGTGAAGGCAATACTGCAGTAAAAAAATGAATAAAACATGTTTCCAGTGTACACAACTGACTTAATGCTGTTAGAAACTACGTCAATGTCATCATAAAACGTAAAATGCTAGTAAAACTTAAAATGTATTAAAAGCTTTCCTCAGTTTGGGTTTATTAGGATAGTGATTTTGTTTTTATCCTTTTTAAAATTTAACTTATATGGAAAAACAAAACGGTCTATGCAAATCATGTAAAAATATAATAAATAGAATGCAAGTGAGCACAAGTTATCTAATAAAAATTATAAAGTCACTGCACTAGAATGTGGGGCCCATTATGCACCGCACATGTTGTAGGATAGCACATTGATGTTGACAACTGGTAAAAAGGTTAAACATAAGCAGAAATTTAACAATTTAGCCGAGGTGTAAAAAAAAAGTATATAAAACACAGTGGAAGATTTCTTTAAGGTTTGTGTTTGTTTGTTTGCACATCAACTACAAAAAAACTAGGGTACTTCAACAGATGGTTAGGTGAAAGTTAATGTGTTAACAGAATTTTAAAATAAAGTCAAGAATAAATACAGGTTTAAAATGGAAGAACAAAATCAAAAGTGAACAGGAGGGTGATTTGGTTTTGTGAGCTTGCAGGCAATGACAGTTGAATGATTGGTAGGTGGGTAGACATTTGGTTTGATCAGTCCAGATCACCTTAGGGATCTGGAAGTTCTTCAGAGCTCCAGTATGTCCTCCAAGGAGCTGAGCAGGGAAGGAATCTGGAATTTTAGCACCAGCAGCAGAAGAAGCCAGTTTGGATCCATCTTGTCTACTGTTGCTCCGACCAGGCTCTCCGGTGGAAGAGGCCTGGAAGCCAGACCTATCTCGATCATTTCGAGAGCGAGCATCAGGAGACCGTCTATCTCGACTGCCAGTCTCACTCCGATGCCTCCGATCTCTTTCAGATTCACGGTCTCTATCTCGTCCATGATCCCCTCGACTCGTTGACTTAGGAATCTCTCCGCGTCTGTCTGATGACTTTTCATGATGTCGGTGCTTGGATGAGTCCCGGCCTTCTCTCCTGCTATCATGTTTATCAACACTGTTCTTAATGACTTCGGGTCGTCCATCTGGTTTCAACCGTAAAGCTGTGTCAGAACCCTCCACGGCTGCAGGCCCACTAGCTGGTTCTTCAGGCCAGCGTTGGGCCTCAAGGGCAGGAATAGGAGCAGCCAGGCAGGGGTCAAGCTGGCCATCAGCTCTGCCTGCCTGCTGGAGATCGATGCTCACCATGAGGGGAGGGCGACTGGCACCATTTCCAGCTGCGGTGGCCTCCTGTGGTGTCAGTTTGCCAGCATTGCCACCTCCTGTTGATCCACTGCCTGGGGCACCAGTAGGACCACCCGGTCCCCCAGCACCTGGCTCAAGGGGAAAAGAATCCTGTTTCCTCTTCTTCAGTGGCTTGTCTGAAAAAGAAAGAAAGAAAGTAAAATATTCAATAGTACATGTAAATTTCTGTGTACTTGTATTTTTATACCTGTCACATGTAGAAAATATTGATTTTATTTTAAGGTCTCTTGTCATCAAACAAAACTTTGATTTGTGCAAGACAAAAGCACTTTCACGCTATAATGTCACAATTTGGCATCAAACACGTGGCAGCTTTTAAAGACACTTCTGGTCATCACGCAAATTAATCAACCTAATCATGTTCTGCACAAAACATGCATTTCCACACACAAAACTGGCAACGTAAAATCAGTACTGACATCTGTCCCGTTGGCTACAATGAAGCGCTGCACGCTCCACCCCCACACCTACATACCTGCCAACTCAGCTCTGTAACTACCACTGTTGCTGACTCAAAAGCAAAACAGTGTTAAATCAATTTCAACCGCATCAGCTGTCCAACAACCCCTAACGCTGACATGCAGGAAGAACTCTACAGTAATCTGAAATCCACTCATTAGGATAAGTTTTCAAATTTTATAAAGTTTAAAGCAACTGAAAAAACCATACAACTTATCCTTATCAGGTTCTCACAACAACATAAGTACGCAGATGTGCAACAGCACGACTTAAAATGTGCACTTAGACAGCTCAATCCTGCCCTTTACAGAAAATATTCAAGAGTCTCTTCTGCCTGGAGTAACAAAAGTTTGTCCTAAAGTATTTTAGTTTACAACTGCTGCTCACGCTTAGAGCACTATCGTATTTATTAAAGTGCACAACACTGGATATTCTGCAAACCTTTATCTTGCACCTCCTTGGAACACTTCTCACTAGCTGCCTCTCGTTCTATCCTTTCAATTTCAGCAAGAGCATCAAGCTCTGCCTCATCGTAAGGTGAACTTGGAGGTTGAAGACCACTGGCACCAACTGCTTGCTGGAAGACCTGCTGCTGTTGATGCCGGGCTGCTAGATTTTGCTGGAGAACCGGAACGTGCTGAAAGGCCAACTCTGTCTCCATTAGGTCTGAGTTCTGTTCCATACCAGGAACATCACCTGAAAAATAGACAAAATGCTTAAAATTGTTTCCATTCTATTATTTACAAAGAACAATATATTCTTTAAAATATTCCCATCAAGCAAATCTGTCTTAGTTCCGGTAATTGAGTAAGTTGCTCAGAAACCGTTTCAATAAATATATATATATACTTTTTTTTTTTTTATCTGAGAATTCAGGTATAACTGGGCTTATCAAAATATAAAAAAGTAGAAAAAGCAAACTTACATGCTGGATCAGATTCATTTGACTTAACCCTGGACAGCTTTAGGGTAAGTTTTGTAGAGTCCTTGTTTGGAGAGCTAACGATGTCATACATATCTTTTTCCTCTTTTACTGTAGGAGCTTTCTTCCTTTGCTGGAGATGCTGCTTTGTGTCAGGGCCTCCTTCTCTGGGTGAGGCTGCATAAGGAGGTGGGGACTGTAGAATAAGGGGTGGGCGAGAACCCGCTATCAAACAACACAAAGAAGAGAATGAATGTTATAACATAAATAAATGTCTTTTGAAAAGGCAGTGTATATAAGATACTACAATGACTCTTGACAATACTACAGAGGAAAACACACAGAACTCTCCATATGTTGATATGTTTAAGCTTGAAGTGGCTTCATTCTTGACGAGGATAAGTTAGACAAAGTAAAGTACTCTTCAAGTGTGCTTACGTTTTGGTGTTCCTTCACTTGATGCTGGAGAACAGCCGGACTGTGGAGACCTCAGAGGGAAAGAAGGATTCCTCATGGCGGGGTCACCCTCCTGGACAATACAGAGGATTAAAAAAAATTACACTGGATTTTCAGCTTGTTTTCACATTACTTTGAGAAGATGCAAACATTTTCTAATGAAATAAATAACTTATAATCTGGTGCGTGCTCTGTTTAGTACTAATTTATTTATTTTCTTTCTTGATCTGAAAGTTTTGGCTCCTTTCTAATCATAGGGATATTATAAACCCTGTAAGTGTTACATTGTATTAGTCAATCTATAACAAGGTCTAAATTTTTTTGAGGGAAAAATATTAAAATTTGGGGGAAAAAATCTGTACTTTTGATTATATCTTTTTTTTTTATTTAAATAAAAGTCATTTTATTTTTTTAAGTCTATAAATTTTGTTTATAGTTTGTCAGCCATACCTCAATGCTCCGACGTTGCACCATATTCATGTAGTCCTCAGTACCGAGTCTGTCTGGGTAGTGATTGGGAGCACTGGACAACTGCCCAGAAACTTTGTCTTCGTGGATATTTCGTATGCCGCCAGACACCATCGGGCTCGCCACAGATGCTAAAGAATAAAATAAACAAAAAGTTTTTTAACAAATGCTATGATTGTTTTTAAGGACTTTGACAGCACAAAATACACATGAAATCAGCTCATTGATAAATTTTATTGAATTCAATAGTTATCATTCTATCATTTTTGCATTTTAATAATTTCAATGTCCAGTTCTCAACTATTTTGACTAATGCAACATAGTTCTTCTTAACACTTTATTCAGTGTTTCCACTAGATAACTTGCCATGGCGGGGTGCTCATCTCATCCGTGAATTTGTGTGTGTGTGTGTGTCTCAGTGTTATTGCTTTTTTTAGCTAGTGTGCCTGTACTGTATTGCCGCGCTGCTAGCTTAGAACTATGGGGCAGAGGCAATTTGGTTCGGTACGCGGGGCACTCAGTTCTGTTGACGGGGCGCCCCATTTGTATAATGGTAAGGGAAACACCGTTACTATTGCTATTTTCAATTATTTAATTCTTAAAAGTTAAAGAAACTTCTACTGAATTTTTAATACAAAATTGGTCAATCAAGTGGCAAAAACAACGTTAGTAGGCTTTCAGCTGAAGTCATTAACTTTATATTGTTAGGAACTAAAAAAGATTTCTTCACTACAAAATCTCATCACCTTAATGCATACAACTAAAAGGTACAACACCAACAAGCAAAATTCTTTAAAACATGCTAACATACCTGACATTACAAGTATAAATGCTCATTTAATTACAAATAAGACTGATCTTATCAAGACGAACAAAAATAGCTCTGTCTGAAAATTGAAAGTTTAAAATTTGAGTGAATACATTTTTAGGAGCAGACCTCTGCAGATTAGGGATATTCACAAGAGCACATATACAAGATTTTTGTTGTACAACTTTGAGGGGGCTTAAAATGTAGCAACAATAAACACATAAAACATATTATACTATAATTTGATTGTAATGTGCTTTTTCATTGGCTTACCCAGACTATGTACTATGCAAAGATGCACACGCCCACTCTCCTCGTGCACATGCATGTAGGGTCTCACCTTGTATCTGTTGGGTCTGGTTGTAACTGGGTGGTTGCTGGTGGGGATACTGCTGTATGTAACCAGGTGCGGGGCTCTGAGGAGTGTAAGGGCTGGGCACTGGACTGTTCTGTTGGCCCATGTACCGACCCCCGGACCCGGTCTGCGGTGCCACAAACCGACTGAAGAGATTAGAGGAAAAACAATAAAGGAGAAGTTAAGTAAGCGAGAAAATACTGCAAATTGACATAACTACTGCAACAATCAAATTAATACTAATTTTTACAGCTTTAGCAATTTTCCATTGAGCTCATTCATGTGGCCAAACACACCTTGATGGATTGGGAGACATTGCAGAAGGCTGAAAGTTTGCTGACTGGGCAGGACTATGCATGGAGTTTTGGGTGACCTTGAATGATGGTACCATTGACTGCTGCATAACATCTTTAAAAGAGGACAATTTTTATATAAATAAACAAATATAATATAATTATTAAACTTTAATAATGACACAAATTATAATGCATGACTTTGTGTCCATACTTTTCTCCCTGAAGATGCCAGGGTTCCTGGCCAGCATGGTCCGCAGCAACAGTGGTGCATCGCCTTCAGGTTCATCGCTTCCCAGGTTGTCCTTCAGTTCTCTGAAGACACAAAAACACAGATATGTTATATTAAAAAAAAATTAAAAATGGAGTAAAGAGAGGTGAATTATGAAAAGAAATGTAATAAATAATGTTAACCAGTAATTTATTATCAGTGCAAACATGTATTGTAAGATCATTGTAAAAATAAATGTCTATGATTCCCAGTTGAGAGATTTAGCAGTACACATTTTGTCATGAGAAGTATAAAGTACGAAGCTACAGATTTTTAACTAAATTAGTTGTATTGATTGTTTTAAATCTGGGTCAGTAATGCAAATAGATTTTTTTTAAATGCAAAGTAAATTAAAAAAAAACTATGAAGTGTTTTGTAGTGACAGTGACACAATTATTTTTAAGAGATTTTTGCATCAGGCTCTACAAGACAACAGTGTTCATAATGAACATGCCACCCTGTCAATCAAGAACCATTCTGCCAGAAAGAGACATCATTTTAAACTTACATGTGCTCTGTGGAGACCTGGTTGAGGCCATGGGCTAACTGGGAGGCCAGATTCTCATCTCGACAGTCCAACAGACGGCTAACATCCTCTGCAATCCTCCCATTGAACAGGAGGCTTTTAGTGGTGGTGGCAGGTAGAGGGGAAGGGAGGGGCAGCTGGTTCAACACTAAGAAAATAATTTACAAAATAACACATTTAAATAGTAAAAAAAAATAAGGTGGGGAAAAAAGTTTTGACGTAGTAAAAAAAAAAAAGAAGAAGATGAAAACAAAACAATTTTACATTTGCTTGAACTGGATATTTTTGAAGATGGCAAAAAGGAGATATGTTTGAAATACAACCGTGCGACACTCACAGTCAGTGAGGCTAGCGATCCCAGCAAGAGTGGTGATGGGAACATGAGGCATATCCCCATTCATGCTGAAGGTGAGGGTGGGGGAGTGTGTTGATACACAGGTAGATCAGGGGGTCGAACGCCACCCGTCCTCACATCTCCCAGCACCTTAGAGAAAACATGATTAGTGAGGAAAGAAAAATAAGACGAGTGATGAACATTAAAAGACAAAAACAGAAAGGAGCATTTCAGTCAAAAACACTGATTTCAAAATGAGGAAAAAGTAGAATTAAAAAAACTGGGAGAAATTGAAAAGTTTTTACTATCAACAACTTTGGGAACCTTACAACAGGAAAAAGATATATCCTAAATTATTTTATTAATATATTGCCTTCATGCCTTATTTTTTAGTAGAAATTATGAGATTATTTTGCAGTTGTATGTTAGTACTCAAAGTGTATTAATTTCTTAGTAAACTTTTGTAATTTTTTGTTCAGTCAAACGTTATAAAGATGTCTAACTTAATAATCACCAGTTCAAAAAGTAGAGGAAACTGAGACAGAATTTATAATATTTCACCTCAGTACTTATGTGGATCTTTATTAGCATATTTGCGTGCTTCTTCTGAGCCTTTCCATTTGAAACAACATTTAGTTTGAAGCTTTAGTGGCAATCACGACTCACTTAAAAATCATTTTAGATTAACAAGATCTTTCCTTTAAAGCACATATACATTTTGTCCAAGCATTTTATATATGGCTGCCATGAAAATATGCATTCTCAGCATAAATAATGTATTGCTTCACAGGTGTAAACACAACAGCAAATATCTGGCTAATAAGGTTCATCAAAAGAAATGAACTGATCTGCAATAATAGGTACATAAAGTGTTTTAAATAGTGCACAGTGCCTATTTAATAATGTACTCTTCTGAATAACCCTCTGTAGTCTATTTCACCTAATAAAATGATAAAGCTACACAATCTGTTAATATATTCCACATACTGCCCTAAAGAATGTCACATTTTTCAACACTTTCAATGGCATTACCTTTATAACACTGGCAATCATTTCATTTTATCTTTGTGTACATGTAATAAACATAATTCAATATTAAAACTCTAAGATGCTTAGGTTATGAAGTACTTTGACAGATAGGCATAAATGAAGGGTCTTTGCCACACTTTTTAAATTGTTTTTACTTGACAGATGCCCTTGACCTATCAGGTAAGCAAGAGGTCAAGCAAGAGCATGCAAAAGACAGAAGGCACGTTGGGAAACTTAAAAGCATGCCTCACACTTTCAAGCAGTCTTAAAAAGCAATGCTATTTTTTTTTTTATTTAGGTACTATACTGAAAAATAGTAACAACACAAAGTAAACCCCATTCACAATCAGCAGTTTTAACAACCACACGTCGTCATGGCAGTACCTTTTCGAAAAACTTTGTGCAGTCTCCGGTGGACTCACTGACATTTCAGATAAAAAGTCCTACACCTCCACTCTGCTAAAAAGAGAACATGGTTCTGTGTCAGACTTTGCAGCATCGAAGTGCCTTTCATACTTTATGGGAGCAGTAGGATGCATTCAAGAACACCACAGAGCAAAAAAATGTAAATAACAATCCCAGATAGAGTAGCATGTCATGCACTCTCACGTGCAAGTCTTTTCTGCAACAGACTTCAGCCACTTTTGGTAACCACTTAAAGAAAACGACAATAGTTCCTTCATATAATCGCTTAGCATGCAGTTTCTGACGGTGCACTTGTTTACTTGATAAAGAAACTTATTCTGCGCATCCTGTTACTGACGATCAACAGATGGAAAATGTAAACAGTATATCAGCGAGTGTCGTTAGCATGCCTAGCCTGTGTGGATTTCCTCTACGCAGGGGCTTGGCTGACAGCTGTGAGACTGACAGGCAGGAGGCAGCACAAAGGAACAGATGCACTGTGATGGTGGCGGCAGTGGTGGTGGGGGGGCTGCATCCTCCAGAAGCAAACAGCCGCCGTACGCCTCTTGCAAACAGAGTAGCTACAACGTCAACTACACAATCCCTATTCATAACAATAACCCGTCCTTCAAAAATCAAGCTGCCAAAGTGACTAAAGCTAAAGTACGCTCCGCTAAGCCAAAACATTTAGAAAAATAATACATTTTGCAAAAAGAAAAAAGCTCCGGAATCAAAACACTCGGATAAATTGTAAAAAAAAAAAAAATGCTCATGACAATCCTAATGTGCAGCAGCTACTTAGCATCTATTTCCATGTTTCTCCGCGGAACTGCCGAGACGCAGCTCAAAAACGATCTGCCGCGAAGTTCCCGACTGCTTGGATGCTTCGAGCTAACCCCCGAAACTAAACGAGCAACTAAATAACTCCAAACAGCAGCCAGACATTTGCTAACAACAATAGTCGTGTTTTAATAGCTAGCTAGTTATGCTAACTAGCTCTAACTGTTTTTAGTTGGCTTCTAACGTTGTCCCTCAGTTCAAATAAACGGAAGCCTATTCTAATAACACAAGGAAGCGCTAACCGGGGTTAATGAATAGTGCTAGCACATATTTACAACAGGCTCGCAACAACAACAACAAAAAAGTAGAGGGTTTGAGAGAGCCTACATGTACGAGAAACTGCGGGGATTTCAATTCCGTGGCAACGGCCCAATCCTCGAGCTCGACAAATGACATCCAGTTGAGGCCGAGCAGAGCAAAAACACACCGAGCTAGCCTGGCTTGCTAGTTCACTAGCTTCCGTTACCTCCCGGTCAACGATCAACGACGCCGTAGGTGTTCTTGCAATAAAACACCCATTAGCGATAATTATAATAATTTTAATTTTAGAGAAATATAAACAAAAAAGCAGCTACGTGAACATATTTACCTTAGGATGTTGCGCTGAAAGGGAGGGGAATGTTTTAGCTTGGTTTGTGTCCGTATCTCTAGCTCCCCCTTTCTTCTCTCTCGCAGCTCCTACAGAAGGAACTCGACTAGGCTCCCCTGCTAGCCGATGAGCTAGCCTGCTAATAGCTATCAACAATAATCCGGGTCGGACTGATTCGTTCTTCTTCCGTTACTCAAGGGTGAATGTTTCAACGTAAATTCGTGGGAAAACATTCGTTCTTCGGAGTTTCAGCCGGTCCGTACCGACATAAGCAATGTTTTGCAGTCAATTTCGAGCGTAAATGATAAATATGACGAATTTTGCGATCATCAAGAGGCTCTCCTCTCGTAGAACAAAATGCCGACCGGAAGTTCTGTCGTCTGACTGACCAAAGATCTCAGGAGTGACTCCCTCCATCGGCGCCAAACAAAATGCCATGCAACATTACAGGTTCCAGCCGCTAGGTGGCGGTGTAACACAACTTAATTAAAAATAACCAAAAAAGTTGAATCATGTCGTCTGGACCAGTTTCTTTAAGGGAGAAAAGTTTCGTCATCCATCCAGAAGACTTCATCAGTCTGCGGCCTGCCAACCAGATCTGTCCCATAAGTAGCTTTCGTTGTTACTTATTAGTTATTAATTAAAAATAATTAGTGTGCCCTTTTACGACAAAAACATTAATTTGCATATTATGATCAGTTATATTGTCAACTTTTTTTTTAAAGGTAATTATTTTTGGTGCTAGTTTAGTGAAAAAAAAAATTATAGGAAAGTTTACTTTAGCTTAGTTTACTTACAATTGTGATTATTCAAAAAACAAACAAAAAAAAACTGGTGTAAAAACTCCTTTTAACAAAAATGTTTGCATAATTTGTAACCAAAATAAACTGTAATATATTTTACGCTTAATCTTTAGATTTCAATTCAGTTCAGTTTATTTATATAGCACCAAGTCACAACAGAAGTTATCTCAGGGCACTGAACAGAAACATTAATATATAAAAATAATAAGTTAACACTATTTATCTGAGGAGCAGACTGCTTGGAATTTAATTCCATTGCAGATTTTTAAGGTGACCGTGGAAAGGAAAAACTCTCTCATGAGGAAGAAACATTTAGCAGAACCAGGCTCAGGACAAGCTTACATTATATATTATTATAGATTATTGAGCATGCATCAGGATATTACAGATTATTGTTTATTATAGATTTACGATTAGAACAACAAGTTTTAGCTTCAACACCGATCTTGGCACAAAAAACTTTGTGATTCATGATACCCAGTATTAATCGACGCCTGTTTTTAAGGAGCTATAACAAAATATTTCAGAGGATCTGGGAGGGTTAGTGAAAGACCCATGTTGTTGCAGTTTTCCTAGTTTTTTTAATGTTTTAAATAAAAAGTAAACTGAAGTTAAATGCTATTAGAAAAAATATTGATATTTTTATTATACTGATCTCATCAATTTTGGAGATCACACGTAGTCTCAAGGTGTCAGAGGTAGCATCTCAGAAGTGTCCATACTAAACTCTGAAATTCTCCTTTATTTATCTCAATTAAGTTGCAGCTTCTCTCATGAATAACTCACCAGAATTAGAAAATTCATTTTGTAAGAAGATTCAAAATTTATACAAGGAAGTAGGTTCCCAGCAGCAGAATTTTAACATCTTAACCCTTTCTTCAGGACTTTTATTATAATTCGTTCTTGTGTAAATCCATCCATCCGTTATCTTTAACTGCTTCTTCCTTTTCAGATTGCAGGGGTCGCTGGTGTCCATATCCAGCAGTCACTGTGCGAGAGGCGGGGGACACCCTGGACAGGTCTCCAGTCCAACACAAGGACACATAGACAAACAAGCATTCACTCTCTCACTCACACATAGGGACAATTTAGAGTTACCAATCAGTCAAACATGTTTTGATCTGTGGGAGGAAACCAGAGTACCTGGAGAAAACACACACGTGCACGGAGAGAACATGCAAACTCCACCCAAGACGGCCCCTGGCCAGGATTTGATCTGGCAACCATCTCGCTGAGAGGCATCAGTTCTACCAACTGTGCCATCGTGCCGCCCTTCTTGTGTTAAATGAAACAATAAACATACAGTCAATGGTTTTTATCTTTTAATTAAAAACTTACATGCAAGACAAAACTAGAACAGCTCAGTGGTGTTCATGTGCACATGAATGTGTCACATATGTACCAAAAAACGTAAACAAAGGAACGATCCATTTACAAAATTCTATAAATCATAAAGTTATGTATATATATATATATATATATATATATATATATATTTGGTCATGAGGTTTTGTAATATTATAGCTGTCTTTAACTATACAACAATCAAAAAACATTTCCTTTTCTAGTTTATCTACAGTTAGTATACAATGCTATCGACATTTCTCTATACAGTTATTTTTATATTCTATATTCAGATGGATCGTTTATACAAAACAAGAGCTATTTAAAAACAAAACCCTTTTTACATTGAATTAGTTAAGTCCAAAACAGCAAGTTAGCTGAAGTAAATGATGGAACCTCAATGAAATCTAATACCTTTATACATATTAAACCGTGAGATAAAAACTACAACTGAAAAAAAGGATGCAGTATAAAGATTAAAAGTTATCCAGCCTTCTCATACAATAATTTCTTTTGTGTGTCGAAATGTGACTCTCCCATCATTTTTAACACAATTTAAAACACAATGACGTTTTCATTTGAATGCAAAAAATTGTGCCAACTTTGTTTTGTACTTGTTTATTTTTTATTTTAGGAATATCCAGGATAGCGGACACGTTTAAATTTTCTATAAATGTTTCAGAAGTGAGGATTTTAAAAACTAATTTCTGGGTCTAAGTGTGCTAAGAAAATAGTGCATAATGCCTATAGATATTTAATCTGTTTTATTATTCATTTTTTTATTTGTTTGTTTGTTTAGGCCTCACATATGGAACTCAAAATCAGCACCAAAGTTAACTTAAGTTGTACTTTTTTAATATAATGATTTGACTTAGGGTAAAATTAATTTAAATGTCCAAAATATGTATCTATTATTTTTGTTAAATTTGTTGCCCTTATGATCTGTCATATTCTTAAACAAATAAATTTACATGAACCAAAGTGACCGAGTGATTTAAATTATCTATGATAATTAGTGTAATCAGTTTTAGAAATAAAACTCAGAACATCTAACAAGGTTAAGTCAGGTCCTACCATCCAGAGGACCTTGTTAGATGTTTCTACCTGGATTATTGAGCATGCATCAGGACAAAATGCAGAATAATACATCCTGTCAGCTTTATCTAGTATTTACATCTTCAGACTTTTAACGAATACAAGAATGAATGTTGAAAAATAAGCACATCATTCCTAATTCACCTTCAATCTGTACAACAAACTGTAGAAATTAAAGCCCCAGACGTCTGTGCAGAGGTTCAAAATTGTATTTTTTTAATCTCATTAAAGATTTTGGTCAGTCAGTTTTTCTGTGTTTGGTATATGACACATTTCACTAGTCTCCAAATTAATGTAAACTACAGTTGTTGTTTTTTTCTCATATAAAACACTAAGTCAAAGCAGCAACCTTAAAGCGAACCAAGATGCTGTGATGACTCACAGCAACACTGGCCTCTGGTGGACGACCCATGATGGTCAGAACAGTTTGAGTGGGGAATGCATGCCAAATAGACAACTGGACCCTGTAACACAATCCTAATGGTAAACAGCTGCCCCCCTCCCCCCAACCCCCCTGCCACCCCCCATATGGCAGCTATGCATCTCAGGAAGCATCACAGCATAAACCCTTAAAAAGCAGTTCAACCACAGACTGTATTAAGTCTGCATTGTGGAAGGCCGGGGGGGTAGGGGTGGAAGGGGGGGACTCATATGGCTGAGATACGTTCTAGCAGTATTTTTCATTTCATTTAAATCCTCCAGTTTTGTGGGATTTGAAACCAGGCTTAACAGAGGATGTCTGTCTTTGTCGGTGCAGTGATCTTCCCACAGGAATACACCCGACAAATCTCGCCCCTTACATCTTGGTTTCGCTGTCCGCGGGCCTCTCGTTTTCGTACTCGTTCTCCTGGGAAATGAGCTGGTACGGCCTCTTGTCTGCTTCCTCCACCGCCACAGAGTTGCCCACCTCTGGGTCCTTCTTTAGCAACTCGTGGCGAGACAGATGTTCCACTATACCAGCTCCGATGGAGTCACCGAGGACGTTGGTGGTGGTGCGCAACCGATCCCTGAGAGAGCAGAAAGAGAAGGCAGAAAAACACAAGCCAAAACAATGTTTCATTGTTGATTGTCTCTTATTATTATTATTATTGTCTGAACATTAAAAAAAAAAATCATTGGATAAAAAGGATTAAATTTAAACAATAGAAAATGAGCCAGAATTTGACTGTAAGTCTAGGTGGACAAAACAAAGAATGAAACTGTTGGTTCTGGAAGCTCTTTAGTAATCTGCTCAAAAAATTAAAAAAAAGTGCTGTTGAAGCATGAAGGTGAAGCGAAACAATTTGGACAAGAAAAAAAACCCAGCTTGACTGTGTTTCATTGATAAAGTGAAGTTTCTCCATTTCATGCATACTTACAGGAACCAGTCAACAGCAATGATCAGGGTGATGTCATCAGTGGGAAGCCCAACAGATGTTAGTACAATCACCATGGTGACGAGTCCAGCTTGAGGTATTCCAGCTGCTCCGATACTCGCTGCTGTGGCTGTAATACTGAAAAGAAAATAGTTTAATTATGCACGTCCCATTGCTGAACCTTTCTGAGAATTCATTGATAATAGCACTTAAGAAGATCACCTAAATTTACTCCGTTAGCTCCAGTACTAGTTATCTCTTGTCAAATAGCAGAATGGTGGTTAGGAAGAAGAAAAAAAGTGAAATAGTGATTCTGTGCCTTTGAGGTGTTTCACTTTGGTCAAAACTGATATGTTTCTGTGCATCACAAACTTAAACTTGACAAAGAAGCTAAGTTAAAAGGATAGTTTAGATCCTGGGGAAAGCTTGTGAGCAATCAGTATCTTACCTGTTGTAGATAGCTCTTTATGCAACCTTGGTTTGGAAGAATATAAATTAGTCCTGACTGAATGGATGAGCTAACAACTAATCCGAACAAGGCCAAGAGCAGAGTAAATCGCTGCTGTCTTAAAGAAACTCCAATCTAACGAAAATCGTATGGCATTTTAAAAATATTGAAATAAATCGTTGCTGTCAGTTTTGGACTGTACTGTTATTTTGCCACATATATTATGATATTCTGCCAGAAATGTCCCAGGCTGTACCAGAAGTGCTACAGCTAGCTGCTGCTAATTGGACTTGCAAATACTCGTATACCTTTTTTTGTAGAAAACTACGTGATTTTGCATTGACTTTTTGAAATAGCCTTTGTTTTGATCAGAGATGTTTGAAGACAACAGTAATCTACTTTGGTCTTGGCCCTTTTTGGACTATAGCCATTAGCCCATCAGTCTGGACAGAAATATATTCCATTTCTCCAAATTGAAAACATTTATAAAGTTATCAACAAATATGATATTATGGTTCTTAACTTTTCCACAGAGCCTCACTTCAGACAAGTATTGGTTCAACTGACAGAATTCCATTTGAGTTTGTTTAAGTGACACAAAAACCTTTGAATGACTCAAATTACTAAATGAAGCAAACGTTGAAATCCAAGTGTAATACCTGATGGTGAGAATCTGTCCAAAATTGAGGTCATAAGCGTTGACCTGGGCAATAAAGATGGCTGCCAGAGCTTCATATAAAGCGGTGCCATCCATGTTTATGGTGGCACCAACAGGAAGCACGAAACGGGTCACACGCTTGTCCACGTTGTTGTTCTCCTCCAGGCATTTAAAGGTGATGGGCAACGTGGCAGAACTGAGAAAGCAACAAGAGGCTATTTTAAATGACGTTGGAGTGTTCCGTGTGTAACATTTTATTGCTCCAGTCGTTTACCTAGAAGAAGTACCAAGGGCAGTTATGAGTGCCTGCAGCAGCCCTCCGATGAATACGAATGGGTTCTTTCTGGTGATGACGAAGTAAAGTGTTGGCAGGACTATGATGGCGTGGATGAGCAGGCCACAAATAACCGTCACTGTGTACATTCCTAGTTGGCCTCCCATAGTTGAGATATCGTCCATTTCTACAATTTTACCAGCGATCAGAAACAAGATACCAATGGGGGCATACCTGAGGAATGATAGGGTTCACAAATTTGTATTATAAACATTGAATTTGTTGACATCTGTCCAATCATTTAGGAGTTTTAATACTTACCACATTATTATGGCAACCAGCCTCATGATGGCTTCATTAAGGCAGTCAAAGAAGTCTTTGAGGGGTTTTCCCTGTTCTCTCATGCTTCCAATGATCAGACCAAAACAGATGGAGAACACCACCAAACCCAGTGCGTTGATGCCGTTTACTGCCCCCGGCACAGGGATCATCTCCTCCTTGTCTATTTGTTGAGTTCCATTCTGCAGCAATATTGTGTCATTCACCGTAACGGTCACTTGAATTATTCTCGTTGCATAATGCGTCTTGAACTGGATATCCACAAGAAGGAAAATATGATCAGAAGATTATTTCAGGTTCAGTAAAAAAAAACAAAAAAACTATGAAATGTTTATTTAAGTATAAGATTTAACTGTTTTTTCAGCAACTATCATTTCTCTTCAAGGTGACACGTCAATTCAGAAAACTTTTGGAACATTTTTATGTTTTCTTTGACATGCGCTGCTATGAAATTCATTTTCACTTTGGAGATCTCCACAGGAACATAAAATATTATATTAGCATAAAAAGTGAGACATGTAGAGATTTTTAACAGCAGCTTAACAGTGAGGTGCTGATGGGGATAAAACTTGTGTGACTATACTGTAAAAAAGATGCTGGAGAAAGTACCTGTTTGGTGCAAGCTTCAATGAGGTTAGGAGGAAACATGTTTCTGGAAAATAAGAATAAAAGGCCAGGTAAGTATAACTGGACTTCTCTTTTGGAACAAAATGTTCTAAAATTGTTCAGCTTTTGTCATATTTGCAATCTGAAGCCTATTTTTGTAAAACATTTTGAAAGTCTCAAACTTAAAGATCATTTTCCTACTTTGAGCACCTCCATGTGAGTGATCAGTGTCAATGGGGGAAATCCAGAAAGAATGTTAATTTGAAACTTTGCAGACTCAGTGCACTGGAGTGCACTTGTGCAATTCTATTACAATTAGGTACCTGATTAGGTCCAGAAAGGCATCAGCAGCGCTGACCTGCTCTATCTGCTGATGCTTGGTGAACTCGTCCTTTGATCCTTTCCCGGGGTGAATAATGAGCACCATGACAATCCCGATGAAAACAGCAATGACGGTTGTGGTGGTGTAGTAGACCACCGCCCTCATTCCCATTTTACCAGAGGCACGACTGTCCAGAGCAGCAATACCTAGAAAAAGTAAACAATTTAAACCCACATCAGTATTATTGTAGTATTAATTATGTTTATTTTAAATAATCAAAGACAAAGCAGTTTTTTAAATAATTGCCTTATACCTTTCAGGTCAAAGTTTCAGACTAATGTTGAGAAATAGCACAAATTAGCATAAATTAACAAACTTTAAACAACATATTTAACCCTTTTTTTTTCAAGTACAGTATGTTCCTACTGATGTTCTTTCTAGAGTTATGAGAATTTTTTCCAAATTTTGGGGGGGATATCCATCCTGTGGAGAATTAATGGACGTGCGGCTAATTTCAGTCCCGATGTGCAGTTTCCCTGGGAAAAGGTTGCAGCAATTATCTGTGGAATACACCCATCTGGATTATCAGAATATCACTATCTGTTATAACAAAGAGTTGCGAGAAACCCAATCTGACTGTGACCTTCACAGAGGGGAAAAACAACACCTTTTGCACAACACCTGGGAAAAAGGTAAGAAAAAAATCTGCCTTCATATTGCACATTCACATAAAGCTGCAGGAAGGAGATAAAATAAAAACAGTTTTAAATTAATATTTTGAGCATAACTTAGCTGACGTGTTGCTGGCAGTGAGTTGCTTCTTTTGTATTTTTTCACTTACACGAGGAAGTTAAAGCTCATTCTAACGAGACAAAAGTAGAACGGAAAAAGTCATTTGGAGAACAAGAGACAGAGGATCTGCTTTAAAAACTGATGTGAGCTCCTATTGTGACTTTTATCTTTATTTGATTTATGTGCTTCTTTGACATGTGGCACTTTAATACCAATGTATGTGCATCTGTGGAAATTGTGAGAAACACTTTGGTACTTAAGAGGGTGTTTTAAGGGTCACTGCTTGATTTCAGAGTTCAGATTCGAATGAAGTGAAGGTAGGGATGTGGTTTATTTGGGATAAGGATTAATGTGAGGGGTTAACAAATGGATTATTAGCACCAAAGAGTATCCATACAAAGGCTAAGCATGTCTGGGTGGCGTATATCTCTTGCCTTAACTTTGTCTCATCATAGGAGGCTCTTATGCTTGGAACCTCCTGAAATTTCTATACCTCCTCTCTTTCCCTTCCCTCCATCATTGTTTCTTGCCTGCCTCACTTCCATCTCTATAGCCAAATCCCTCTTCTACTGGTCTTATTGCCACTGTTCTTTTTCATTATCCACTCTTTTCTTCTCATCTAACCCCCCTCTGTCTCTCGCTTCCTTCCTATTGCCCCCTTGTCTGACAGCTCTGGGAAAACCTGTTGACTAAGTCAGTCCAACATGTACGCACAATGATCTCCAGCTGGTTGTCAGGGCAACAACAGATGCAGCCTTACCAATTCAATCTTTTCAAAAGAGCCAAGATTGAAGGAGCACAAGTTGAATGACTTTCTTTGTAATTTAAGGGGACGTTCATCAAACACAAAAGTCATCCGAGTTTGAGGAACGCGGGGGTGAAACACAGGACATGGCGACTGTAAGAGAGTTTTCCAGAAACGATTTGACATCCACTGTGGATGTAAGAAAATATTCTAAAAGTTTGAACCTTACAAGCACATTTTCTTCTCTTTCGTCTTCCTACATTTTCTCTTATTGCTGCTCTCTTCAGTCTTGTTTGTCCAACATCTTCTTCAAAACTCAGATTTGGACTCTCACAATGTAAAGCCTGAGGACCTATGTGTTGAGCTATAAGGGCATGTTGAAGGTTGCTTGTCAGTGTGAGTAAGGAACTTTGTTTAAAATAGGATATAGAATAACAGAAAGGCAAAAAAGTGATTGAGTAACCGATCTTAGATTTTCCTATTTTTAATTTAATCTGTGAAACATGAATCCTCTTTCCTATAAGCATTTATTCATGGTTTTCCAGGTCATTCAGCCTAAAGTTTGCCCTCTTCTCTTTCTTGTTTTACTTTAGGAGGCCTCACTAAATTCATCTCAAACCTCACAGGGCCCCAAGTCCAAATTAACTTTTAGACCAGCTATAGAAGCCAAGTCCTCACATGGGACAACGTTTCATACAAAATAAGCTTTCAGGCTCAGAATCATCATTTTTCCACATATTTGTAGAAACTCTGTTCTGGTATTCTGCTGGTATAAACTGCTGGCTGTTCTTAATTATTCTAATCCACAAAGGTAAGATAAGACACACAGTTAACCAAAAAGATTTTCGTTTGAGAAATTAACTTTGCAAGATCAAAAAAAAAAAAAAGTGTCTAGTATTACTTTTGCACATTTTTGTGGTTTTCAGCAAAAATCTTAAAAACATATAGAGAAGTGATGTAGCGATAAAAGAAAAAAATAAACTATAAAACAATACCTTGTTTTTTAGCGTGAGTGCACACAATTTTCATTCAATATTTTCATTTAGCCTTTATTTATCCAGGTTAGTCTCTTTGAGCCACGAGAACTCATTTGCAAGAGAGACCTGTTTTTTAGGGAGCACATGGTGGGGGTTAAGGGCCTTGCTCATGGGCCCAGAGTGGGGCGAATGAGGGTGGGGGCAAGTGTGGGTGTTTCACCTACCCCACCCACAATTTTGATGTTGTCGGGGCCGGGGCGTGAACCGGCGATGTTCGGATCACAAGCCCACCTCTCTAACCTTTGCGCCACCACTCCCCCAATATAATAGTAATAATATAATATAATATAATATATTACTCCCTGTAATATAATTTACATTTTAGTGACATTCTTGAATTTCTTGTTGGCTTTTTGTTGCTCTCTGGTTATGTTTCAACAGGTTTGAGTATAAATGTTTATGCTTATTTATCAGGAAGATTTCAAAATCCTAACAGAATAAATTGATTTGGCCTAACAAAAGCTTATTTTACACTTAAACGTGTTTAGCTCTTTTTTTCCCCCATTTATTTAAGAATATTATAAAGTATATATGTAAATATCAAAGTATAAATAATATGTGATAATAAAGATTTTCAGATTATGTTGCAGCTTTTTGTGTTTAGAACCATAAAACAGAATACTTCTTTCATTAACAGCTTGTGTCACAGTAAAAGCCACAGATTATAATTTCACCTGAAATTGTGAGTCTTTGACAGTAACAGAACAATATGTGTTGTTTTTTTATATCACTTTGTGAATTTAGAGTTGTAATAGACATGAATTTTTATAAACGTATGATGACTGGAATAACATTTTACTGGAAGATGTTCTTATTGTGGTTGATCACAGTGTTATTTAACAAAAAAAATACATAAATGTTAAATGTGATTTTGTGTTGACCAACACAGATTCTTCAAATCCAGCTGAAATCAATAATGATTCTGATTCTATGATTGCCTCATGTTGAAGCTGTGGTCATGTGACATGATGTCAGAGAACACTGATGTTATTCTCGACTTTAGCACAAAGCAGACTATTGTCAGACAACGTGACTTATCCGTCCCTTCAGGAGACCGGCCTCTTTCCCTGTCAATCACTGCAGACACTATTCGGACTTCTGTCAGGTTTATATAACAAACCATCAGGTTACAGCTGAGTAGTGTCGTTGGAAACATGATTTATGTGCCTAAAAATGACCAGAGAGGAACTAAATCGAAAGATAAACCACAAAATGAACTCACACAGTTTTTGTGTCGTTGTTTTCAGATCAAACTCATTATTATACAGGTGATTCAGTGCAGAACTGCAAGTCACCATCTTGCTCAATGGTTCACCCTAAACCCGTCCACCAACAGACAGTCGGCTGAGCAAACAGACGGCTCACTCTGAGACACACGCTGGTTAGTGAAGCCACGGGGCGCCAAACTACTTAGTCGGTGTTGCTCTTGTTCAAAGAAAACACAGGCTTTGTGCCAGACATTGATCCCAAAACAAGGACTACAGAATGCGAAGTGAACTGGAGCCATGCTGAGGAGTCACACAGGCAGCTGTGTGAGCGAGAGAAAATATTGGAGATAATAGCTGAAAGAAAGAAGAGCAGCTTTGTGTCTACAAAGCAGATTTCAACAATCTGAGGTAACTTTACTTTTGAACTAAATGATGACAGTAACACTTAATTTACTGTAATGATGGTAAGGTGACAGAAGGTGTTTATTCGTGTACAAACTTGACATAATAGTTAACATTATGATGTGCCTCATGGCACAGATATGGTCAATAACAAGCTTGCACTTATAAGTCACAATTAAGGTTTCTACTGGTGTCTTGCAATGGAGTTCAAACCTGTGATAAGACTGGAGACCAGCAGCGGCAGCACCAGCATCTGAAGCATTCTCATCAGCAGCTCTCCAGGGAAAGAGAAGTACTTCACTTCACGGTAAGACATTTTATATGGACGCACAGCGAAACCCAGGATTATACCTGCAACAGGTAAGGAAGGAAAGTAGGTTTTAAAAAAATGTTGATAAAGTTCTGAAGAGCTCATCTGGTGCTGAGAAAAATTAAAATGTGTCAAAAGTACCAATTATTAAACTATTGAAATGACCTCCACTGATACTTTAAGTTAGTTTTAAATGGTAAAGGGACTGTACTTATATAGCGCCTTTCTATCTTATCAGCATAATCAAAGCTCTTTACACTACAATCTGTGCCCTCAGTTACCCATTCCTACAGCACTCTACTAGATCTCTACAAAGATAGTCTGAATCTGTAGAGACTAATAGTGCTTTAAATCGCATTCATACACCAATGGGACACACATTGGAGGAAATGAGGGGTTCCGTGTCTTGCCCATGGACACTTCGGCAGGTGGAATCGAACCCCAACGCTTGCATTGGAGGACGACTGCTCTAACCACTCAGCCACAGCCGCCCTAAAACTATTTAACTATTAAGCTATTTTTTTTTTCTTTTGCCCTTGAAGTCTTCTCTTTTGGTCCAACACTTACAGAAAAGCTAAGGTGGCTGACCAGCAGCCTGACCTTAGAAATATCCTAAATGTGACAATCAGTCAAACAGATCCACCATGACATGATGTATTTTTAGCAGAGCACACATGTGCATGCTTTGGATGGGTCTGGCCCACTTCCTGAAGGTAGGAGGCAGAGGTTAGAAGTGGCAGGTCAAAAGTCAGCCCCAGTAAAGATCAGTCTGCTAAAAGCATCAGAACTCATCCAGTGACTTTGTTTCTACTCGTTTCATTCTTCTGTGCTGTCACAGAGCAGCTGCTCATGTTAGAATAATGAATCATTGGTGATACAGAAAACACGGAGAGACATAATCCGCTCTCGGTTGTAAATGAGTTAAACCAAACAGCCAAAACAATTGTATCACAAAGCGTTACTAACCTGTGATGACAGCAGCTACGGTTAGAATGACAAAAGCATTTTTGAAGAAGAACCTCTTCATGTCGCGCTTCGTGATGTTTTCCACTCTCTTCTTGGCTTGAAGGGATCGGTTTTGGATGCCAGCTCGGATCTGGTGAAGACCACTCTGGTTCCGCTGAGGGTTTTCGCCATTGCTTTGTGTCATAGCTGTGACCCACTGGATATAAGGAAGACCAGTGAAGGTGCTGGTGACTGTCCTACTGATCCTCCTGTTTGGTTAAAGCTGTCTGCATAAGAAATTGACATGATGTAATAAATATTGCCAGATAAGTGAAATATTCATTTTTGTTGTTCGAGGAAAAAAATGTGTGATTTAAATTAAATTGTCACTTATATGTGCTGTAATCAAAGACAGAACTGACTCAACAGATACTTCAGCATTTAGGACATGAAAAGTGGGGTTTTGAGAGCAAAATTTTTACTCTCAAATTTTTTACTCTCAAATTTTTTTCAGCACAAAAACAAAAAAAAAACTGTCCAGATGACCCGACTGAAAAATGTTGGATTGTATACCTGGATTATTGAGCATGGACTTTGTTGGTTTTGAGAGTAGATTACGTTTTTCTTTCAGAAGCGTCAGAAGCTTTGGCTCACGTACACTAACTAAAGCCCACGTGTACACTTCTGAGTTCATGCTCAACTGACAGATCCAGTCCCACACACAAGCTCAGCTTCTCATACACTGGTTCAATGCATGTCCAAACACATCAAAAGGGAAAATGTTAAGACAGAAGTCTGCTTTACCTTTAGGCTTGAGCAACAACGTCCTCTGCAGTGATGTTAGGGGAAAGATCCGGCTTAAAGCTCGAGCTGTGTGAGGAGTAACGAGGGGTCTCTTTGGTTCTGCGCTGACTGGTGCAATACCAGCAATGAAGAGAGGAGAGAGAAAAAAATATGAGGGGAGGAGAAAGGAAAGGAGGGAACCAAAGAACCAGTTAGAAACCAGAGGCGGCCCCCGGTAGTAGAAAAAATAAATAATAAAATATTCAATGTTGGTTTGTGGGGAAGTGAAGGCAGGGGGCCAACAAGTAAAACAAGGTAGAGGAGGGGCTGCTTTTCAGACTGAGGGGAGCTTGAAGAAGAAAAAAGCTTTTCAAAAAAGAATAAGGACCTTGTTGTTTTCTTCCTTTCCTCTCAGCCATCCTTTGACGTGCTTTTTTCATGCTTAACATTCAGCCTGACTGCAGGATCCTGCAGACAACAGAAAAACAAGCCTCATCTATCACAGAGGATTGATTCATACCTTTATTGTTGGCAATTCTCCAACAAACACAATAAAATCAGCCCATATTTGCTTTTTTTCCCCTGTCTTTCATTACATCTGCACCAAGCAAAGTCCACTTGGCTGTCTTTTCTGTACTGTGGAGAGTTTAGTAACTGCGATGGTAAATATTTGCAACTGGTTCTAACCTTCCATAAAAGAAACATTCACTGCATTTCACATGCTTTTAATTTTTTTTATTTTTAGTATTTTTTTTTTTTTTTTAAAGACGCTGACTGAAAAGTTTGACAGTATTTAGCTCAACAGCTGCTTGACTCAGCCACAGGAGCCACAGCTGTTAGGACGTAATGAGCTGGAATTTGTTTTGTTTGCAAAGATCAGCAAATCACAGTTTGGCCTGTGTGATGATTTTTACAAGAAATGTTTGTGAATGAGTCTGAAATTGAGAGTCTCATTTATGGCAGAGATGCTGTGAGAAATTCCATCTTTAAATCCACAAATGCTCACCTGCACACTGTGTCTTGTGCATAATGTGACCCTGAGTCTGTTTTATCATCTCTTTGTATTTCTAGGAATCAACGATAACATTTGCAATGTTTCGAACATGTACCGGTAGCTACACTTGTGAAAATGTAGAGCAGAGTTCACTCAGATTAGTGAACAGTTTTCCTTCTTGCTGTGGTTTGCAGAGAAATAACAACAACAACAAGATCAGCACATTATTATGTGGTTTATGTGGTTTGAGGTATTTAAATAAATCCAAAGACAGCTGATGTTTTAAATGATGATGCGATGTTTGCTGCAAACCTTTGATTTCTCTGTGGTCAGATATAAACTTTAATCAGGACGGGAGGACTATTACCACAGAAAATGTGCACGTCGGTTTAAAAAAGTTCATTTGCAAGCGGTCATATGAGAACATGTGTTTTTGATCACATCCTCCCATACCTAAAATTAAACTAAATTAACCACTGAGATCAAAATCAGTCTGTTTACTGAGTCAGAATGTAGAAAAGTACAGAAACCATAACTCAGAGGCAGTGGCACAAAAACTTCAACAATATTTTTATTATTTTATTTGACAGCACTTATTCTGAAGCTTGTGGCCTCACTTGTGTTTATGTTTGAAAATACTTACAAGCATCAGATTTAGAGTTTATTCTTAAACAGGATCCTAATTGCTTTGAGGATGCTAAGACCTCTTCATTTGTTCAGGCCTCAACACCCTGTGAAAAACTGGTGGAATGCCCCAAGCTTTAACTTTTGCAACATTATGCAAATAATTTTATGATTATTTGAAAGAGAAAAGTAGCAGCATCAGTGGCAAGCTGTAATACTTCTATCAAAAATATTCTGGATAAGAATAACCAGGGAATGTGAATTTGGAGGCATTAGAAATGTTTATAAAATAGAGTTCACATGAAGCGCGAAGAAGTTAGTAAAATTAGAATTGTTTTATTGTGGCAATAAACTACTCTATCCATTAGCTCATCATTGGTTTGAAATTTTTTCTTTCTTTCTCCAGATCGAGGTTGGCAGTGAACTCAACAGGCAAGATACTTGTTTACAACATTTCAACAGAACCCAACTTCAAAACATCGAAACTGTTGCTTTAAGTCTTTTTCCTCATCACTTCATCAACGAGAGACGATAAGAGGTTTGACTCCAGATTTGAGTCGTATAACCCAATTTTGGTTAAAATTCTCTAATATATAAATCCACCATAAATCAATGTTGTTATTCATTCATCTATCGTACATTCATTTATCGTACCCACCACTGCACCCTGTATTCACTGGTTAACTGGACATCATTAACTTCACGCAGACTCTCCCACTGGTACATTTTCATTTTGAAATCACTTCTTGGTCTGCTGCCTTCATACATCTCCTCCTTCATGTCTCTGCGTGAGTGCAGCTACAGCGTGCGCTCTCAGGACATTATTACCTGCAGTGTTCCTTCAGTGCGGACCGAACTTGGCAAAAGGGCCTTCTCCTACTTTGTTTGTGTTTCCTGGATTACCTTACAAAAAGACCTGAAGCTCTCGACCTTGACCTCTCTAAGTGGCTTTAAGAATCTGTTGGACTCCTGGCAGGGACCAATGCAGACATGTTCCTGTTTTTAGTTTTCTACATTCGCCTTAGAATCTAGCTGTTTTTTTTGTTACTTTTCTTTTCTTTTCTTTTTACTTTTCTTTTATTTTAGCCATCCTGTTTGTTAAAAAAATAAAATAAAATCGGTATGACTTTTTATAACTGTTTATTGTTGTCGCTGTTGTCCATTGTTGTCATAATTTTTTGTTGAAATCAGGTCTCTCTTGTAAATGAGTCCTCAAGGCTCAATGGGATTTACCTGTCTAAATAAAGGTTGAATGAATCTAGGTCAGGGGTGTCAAACTCACTTACAAAAGGGGGCCAAAATCAAACCCTTTTTCAAACTAAGGACCGATTTCAGAATCTTCATGAACCCAAATCAGATACCCAACATTTTTTCTTTGTCACAGGTTCCTCAACAAGAGTTTGATTGGTCTCATTTGATGTTCTCTGTTGTGCTTTTGACATCATAATCAAAGAGATAGAAGTATTTTACGTTTCACATATCTTGGGGGCCAGATAAGATGTCCACGAGGGCCACATTTGGCCCTCGGGCCTTGAGTTTGACACATGATCTAGGTGAATGCTTGACACCTTTAGAATGTCTCATAAAGAGTGTGTGTTGGGGGGAGTCCATGCAGACAGTTCGATGATGGTAGAGACGTGGAACTTGGAATTTGAGCAGCCATTTACGGATCAGACCCTGAGCGACATTCCTAATCTGAGTGTGTGCTGAGATTAGCAAATAGTTAACAGCCAGACACAAGCTTGTCGGCACACAATGCAGATCAGACCAGATATTTGCTGTGTGGAATCACAAACGTTGGAGCAAATACCTTAATGAAATTGTTTTTCTTTAGTAGTTTTCTATATTAGTTCATGCCTAAAAGCAATAATGTCTTTAAATGCCAAGACAAAACCAAGTGGAAATTATCTCTTTTTTGTCAATGATGGGTCTCAGAAACACTAAACGGTCTCTTTCAACACTTGGATCACATGATGCACAGAATCCATTGTCTGAGGTTATCTAATGTTGATGGTCCCAGTTTATCTTTGCTGTTATGACATTTGTTTGGATAGAAAAATACACCAGTGAAGTAAAGCAATGATGGACCAGCAGTGTTTTATTTATTGAAATGTCTTCTAATATATGTAATTAACACATATGGTTGTATGTTCAGCCCTGTATCACAGCTTGTGTAGTTATTTTGTTACAAGTTCACATTCATTCTACTGAACTGCTAACTTGTTTAGCCTTGTGTACAAGTCATCCATCATTAGCTGCTCAGTGGTAACATGTTTCATGCTCATATGAGTGTTTGTTTTGTTTTGTTATTTTTTTTTATATTTCGGCTACATGCAGAATGAGTCCTGAGATAATACATTGAAATACTTTATACAAACACTTTACACATATATTTTTTTGTTTGTTTTATAGCATCATTTTCTTTCATTTATTTTTCCCAGTTTGTATGCTTTCTTTTACGATTGTCTACTGTTGTCATCATTCTTTGTAAATGAGTCCTCGAGGCTCAATGAGACTAATCTATATAAATAATGGTTGAATGAATACTGTGAAATCATTCGTAAACACTGATCGTGCACTATCTAAAATACTCATTAAACGTGACATTTTAGTGGGTGGTTCGGTGCAACAGTGGTTGGTGCTGTTGCCTCACTAAAAGGCAATCCTGGCTCAGCTGGGGCCTTTTTGTTTGAGGATTGCATGTTCTTCTTGTGCAACATATATTTACATACATTTTTGAACTGTGTATTGTGTACTACTAATGGATTGTGTTTGTATTGTATTATATACCTGCAACCATAAACAGGACAAAGGGGAAACAGAAAATATATGTACATATGTGTGGATGGACATACAGACAGGCAGATGGAGGGATGGAATAAAAGATGGATAGGTGGATGAACCCTATTAAGTTTCATCACATCCCATAAGAGTTAGTCCATATTAGTTCATTTGAATTTTCTTTTTCTTTTTCAGTTCAGTCTATCTTTGGTTAGCTTGGTCTAGTTCTGTAGTTTATCTTATTTTCAGACACTGAAGTAAAACACAGGGAAACATCTGGGTATGTCCAAAGGGAATGAGTTTCATCTACACCAATTCTCCAGCACCGACACATTTTCTTTCTCTGCAGTGAAGCTTCTTTGGTTAAAATCTGTTTGATATAAAGACCAGGACACATTTTGCCTGAGTGAAGTTCACATCACCTTGATTATGCACGATGCGTTAAAAGCATGGTTTAGTTTAAAATATATATTTTTTAAATGATGTTTACTTTATCATCATGCTCCTCTAAGCAGTCTTACTGTGGACCAAATTGTAAGTGAGTGCAGAGCTTCTAAGTCTGGTCTCACTTAAGTTAAACTGATTACACGTGGAATGTGGAACCAAACGGTTTTGCGCTAAGTCCTGAAAAAACAATTTGTTTATTCATTATTAATTTTTTTATGTTGTTACATGTATGCACTGATAAAATGCCAAAACAAATTAAAAATTTGTATTTAGC